ATATTTGAAATGAAAATATCACTAAATAGAGGTCTGCGCATGCCTCAACATTTCGACTGTTTAGTGTAGCCAAACTTTTACATGGGAGTGTACTAATCGGGCGAACCCCCCCCCCCCCCCTCGGCCATAAAATTCTTTCAAACTCATGTAGTTTTTCACCATTCTGAGCACATTTTGGCCATTTATGGACCAAAATTGTCAAAAGAGAACCCTGGATTTATTCAAAAAGTAACCCCCTCCCTTGGGGAATCCTGGTTACGGGCCTGAGTATATTCTAGTTACTTCATTTAACATCTTATTTATGATTAAAAGCATGTTTTCTATTTGCAATAAAAAAGAGATATTGTAAGCTAAGCCAGTTATAAAATAAAGCTTAAGATCTGCCTCAAATACTTTATATGCAAATAATTATGAATGTTTGTTTTTGCAGTGTTAAAGGAATTGTGGTCGCCCTGAGGGGTATAACACTCTTCATTACATGGTCCTCCGCCTGGGCCCAGTTGACATGTGGACCTATCTTATAGAGACAGGGCATATCATACCTGTATCCTCGACTATAATTCCCCCAGCGCTTCTAGCAATACTAACAAGGAAAAAATACAATAATTGCCAGTGTACAAGTATGTGCATAATGTCATTGAAAATCCATGTATCTTAATATTTTGATTGGCCAGCGTGCGTCACGTGACTCTTCTCGCTACATCGGTTTGGCCGATAATTGAACTGCAAAATGCCTTTTGCACGTGATTTCACATATCTGACACATGACTTAGTTTTGAAGGTAAAGTTGTTGGCAAACAGGAGCTTGAACAAGATAGTCCCATCCGAAAGAGTTGATGTATCGAGTAATCAACGCACTTCAATATATCTTATTTCAGATCTTCAAGTATACAAATTGGCTGTTGACTGAATGGTCATTTTTCATTCGTGCAATTTACGAATGGCAGTTCGGGAATAAGTCAAGACGCAATACCGTAAGACCAATGGCCTACCTAATGTAAGCACGTAGTAAAATAGGAATATCTAATAAGCACAAATGCCAAATGGAAAAAAGAACATTGAGCAAGGTTTAACTGTCCCAAATATTACTTAAAACCCATACCGGATAACTCAGTTATTAAGATTTATTTGGTGTACCTTTTTGGCTCACCCTGTAGCAAGGTTATGTAGTGCAAATTGGATAAATATTTATAAAACTAGAGCCATTTTCATGTTAAATTCTGCGATTGTAACGGGATATGAACATGAATTACTCAAAGTAAGGTGCTTACCAAGTTCCAACACGTGTCATATAGTATAGATATTTATACAGTTCAATACGGCAAGACTGGTGCCCATTTTAGAGGTTTAAATGGGTAGTTGCCTAAAACTGTGATTTTTTTCTTCCATGCAAGAGGCCTATATTGCTCAAAGCCCCCGTGATCTCCTTTACTTAAACTCATCAATGAGGGGACGGAGCATTGAGTTCACAAAAATGACATAACTAGCAAAATATTTCCGGTTCCTTTTAATCTAACAATACTTCAAGATATACATTCTGAAAGTGATCTATAAAGTACTAATCAATTTTCATTATGTAGATATATTTTAATCTCCGCCTAACCATGAATAAACACACTTGAAGTTAGCCTGACCGCTAAGAAGAAGGCAATTGTCTTGTGTTTTATACACCATAGAGCTAGCCTCTTAAAGGGATCTTATGTAAATCAGGGGATTTGAGTAGGAGATAAGGAGGATATCCATCAATGTCAAAGCAGTATAATAGATTACTTTCAACGTTAACAGTACAGAGATGTATTAAGTATCATTGGCAGCTCCTATGATACCATGAGGACTATGGGATAATAAGGGAAGCGGGAAAGGGACGTGGTGAGATTGAGTAATATGGAGTAAAACCGGAACCAGAAGCGACTAGAAGGGAGTGGGAGTGAGGGTCAGACATAGATGCCGAGGAGATAAGGTAGACGGGATGAATGACATAGAGTGGCATCTGGCTTAGAAATCTTCCTACTATTCCGTGGTGGAACATGTCCTCGCCAATACCAAACAACAGACTAACATGATTGGTCGATTCTGCCACAACCCTTTTCATAGAATTGTGTCAGAGTCAACATGGCCTTAGTTTCAAAATACAAAAATTAGACCACCGCCATTTTATCATTTTAACATTTCTATCTTAAGGTTTGAATTAATATACTGTCATCCTGGCATTTTGCAAAGTCAGTTTTACTTTCGATATCACTTCAAAATATCGCGAAAATGACGCGAGCCAATCCTCCATGGAGAAGAGTCATGTTGCAAATGATGATCTGTTAAGACAACTTCTCAAATGACCGTGTGCAATTCAGGACCAGAACTAATGAACTAATATCCGGTTAAGTTATTTGTGGTTGAAGGTCGCAAAGGTCATCAATTTCCAACCTTCGTCATAAATAGGAAGGTATTTATTCTACAACTGTGATTTCTCGTTATATAATTTAGATTGGTCTCTGCAACGATATTACATCCTGTATCGCTCTTTATCCGCTATGAAATTGACATGTGGCGTTGCAAAGGCAGGCATCTGTGGACAAACTTGTTTTGTAAAACGGGGTGAGTGTAGAAGCTCTGTAACACTTCCCTCCTCTTTTATGAATGTTCAGCCCAATAGATTAACACGACTTAGTTAATATTTGATAAATGTATTGTTATTCTATATTTTTAAATCAACTTGATTGATAGCCTTGTTCATGGTTCTCTTGCTACACTCAGTGACTAAATCACGACAACAAAATATAATGCTATCATAACATACATGATATTCGATGCATGCACTATGTACAGGGTGGTCCAAAAAAAAAAACCCCTGCAACTGGCCATATTTCCCTTATTACTTGCAGGAATTCTTTTTTATTTCCACATGTTGTAGAGGAAGGTCTAAAATTTATGGTGGTACCATACACTTTTCTTAGTCTTGAAATTTGCAGAAATTATAAGCCCTAACCAAACATTACTGAAAATGGACAAATTGTGATTTTCAATATCCGCGATTCTTCAACCCTTTAACACCTTTCCCCTGAGATTTTTTAAGCTGCAGTCTTAAAGAACTAATATTTTCTGACTTTGTTCAATTTTAAATCCTGCACATTATGGCTTAAAACTATTGTGATCCAAAGAGATGTGCTAAGCTTCCACAGACGAAAACATTTTCCAGTGAAATCATGAACATACCCCTATATGATCTTGAAATGTCAATATCTTCATAAATCATGGACCAATTCTAATGATATATGGCTCAAAACATTGAATATTGAATTTTCTTTTGATTTTTTAAAGATATTTGATGAAGGGGTTATCAGATTCCTGGTCACAGGGGGCAACTTCCTTCCATAAGAGGCCCCCCTCTAACTGTTGGTGTAGGTAACATACCCCTGAACTGTTGAACAGTTAAAAATGCTTCAAAATGATCAATGAAAGTATGAAATGTGTTTTCTGCTTGAATAGTGTCCCTTTTGTCATATGGTAGGGTTTTAAACTTGTATCTCTAACTGAAATCTGTTTAAAATCATCCAATGTGTTTCAACAATTTCCGTGAATCACATTTGTAAAATTTTGTGCAATATCTAATTTCCAGGCATGTTTGTTAAACGCTTGTAATTTCTTCAAAATTTAAGACTGAGAATAAATTATGGCATCAACCAAAATTTTAGACCTTTCTCTACGACATGTGATAATATGTGCCAATTCATGCATGTATTAAGAAAAATGTAGCCTGTTGCAGGGGTTCACTTTTTTTGGACCACCCTGTGTATGTGTCAAAGTCAAGGCGAAATAGTATCACAAAACACAGCTAGAAAAACATCCTAAAACAGACAGAAATAAGAAAAATAATTCCAACAATCTCAAACTTCACTCGCCCTCGTCATCCAAGAATAAATATCACAAACCAAAGTCACAAGACAGGATACTGCTATATGATAAGTGATGTGTAATGAAAAAATGCTGAGAGCACTGTCTGAGTAATTGTATCGAAATCAGCTTGGTTAACACATTGCAACATCACCAAGCATTGAATCTCGATCATACATACTCTGATGATTTTAAAAGTGGCTTGATTTTGCTATTCCGTCTTTTTCGATATCAGCTTAGGATTCTTACTCAGGAAATCAGGGTTGTATGCTATCTTTGCTACTTAGCTGCTGCGTCAATCAGACCTCTATTCATCATTGATTTCTATTAGATTGCCGTATCATTATGGAAAAAGACAGCATATTAAGGCTGACATTCTACCCTATGGGTTCTTCTCGTGTAGCTCCATAATCTTTGGCCTTTTATTCAAAAATATTGACGTATACGGTATATACAAATGCCCCAAATAGAAAGTTCTATATTCAGAACTCATAATTAAATTCAACATGGTAAAATGCCATTCTTCTTGAATTGACACAACGATGATAAGAGCTTTTTGAAGTTATATTGGCCGACCGCCTACTTCACGACTATTAACAAATGCTTCCTTCTAAAAAATATCCGAGAACGGGGATGATAACCCTAGTGGGAATCGACTCAGAAAAACTAAACAACCGAGATCTGTGCCACTGATAAATATGCAAATCAAACTGATTTGTCAGTTAAGAAATCTAGTGTCAATCAAATATTGGCTACTGTAGTCTCAAAGAGAATCAGAGCCGTTGTCAGCTTTCATGAAGAAGATGCTCCGATTTTGTAAAATAATTGGTGAATTCATTTTGAGATACAATATTCATATCAGTTTGATAGCCTTTTGATTTTAAAGATTTGAACCTTAACCAAACTTATTTCAATTTACCCAAAAAGTATCCTTATTCACGACAAAGTTTGGCACATCTAACAACCGTAAAATAATTTGTACTAAATGGTAGGTAAATCATAGTTACACTTGGGTAATTCTTTGCGGAACTTGTACGAGTGCCTAGAGTTCCATCCTATCGATGCCAAACTTGATGAGAAATCACCTGATGGCGTAATTACTAATTACTCACCTCTCACGCGTATGGCCTCCGTGAATTCAATTTTTACATGTCCCTGCACCGCTCCTCCAGCGTGAAAGACCCCTTGACATTGAGAAAAGGATATCTCAAATGTTTTGATTTTCGGTGGCAATTTCTTGCAAACGGCATGACTGTCTTGGCGGGTCCGTTGCGGTTTGTACGCTGAATGTAGCCTAGGCCTATATCGTATCATTGTCACCAAGGCAACAGAGATCACGTTGTCATATGCAAATTAACTCAAAAATGCATTTGTGAATTTAGCGTGTCGTATGTTTTGTTCAATAATACTGTTCTTCTAATACTGTTGTCGGCTAATTAACATCTGATGAGTGAACTCATGAATTGTTCCGATCTGCAAATTACAAAAAGAAAATCTGTGATTAATGTACTGTAGGTAACTGGTCAACTCGTACCCAAGACAAGTCGTACCCAAGACAACTCGTACCCAAGACAACTCGTACCCAAGTATATATTTTGTTTTGAATCAAGCGTTGACTGGGAATGTGAATAGATATACATATTATAATTGTAACAAACTGTTCAGAATAGTTTAAGGTTTGAAGAAGAATTTTTGGAAGATATTGATTTAATTTTGTGACATTTTGAGCTGAGTTTCAATTTGTATTGACTATTATTTTATATCGGTCACAGATTCAGGATGTTCGAGCAAAGAGACATATGTTTATTCCACATGTTCATGATCATTTTTCAAAATATAGTATGTTTATATATGAGTGTTTGGAACAAGTGTCAGATCTAATGTTGTAATTATATTTATTTATATATATGTTTGACAAGCGCTTCAAGCACTTCTTTTATTTAATAAAAAAAAAGCTTTACTGATCCATTGAGAAAAAATGTCGTCTAAATTCAAAAAATATTGAGGATTATTTGATTCACATTATAACATGAAAGCATTACAAACTCAATTTTTCCCCCAATATGCACCCATAATAGTGAAAATAATCTTGGGTACGAGTTGTCTTGGGTACGAGTTGTCTTGGGTACGAGTTGTCTTGGGTACGAGTTGACTAGGAAGCGTACTGTACGTGGAGCTACATTGTGTACCTTATGGGCTTAAAGTGTTCATTCCAGACCTTGTTTTGATAAAGCTGGCTTTTCTGCAAGAGCTAGTTGTGATAATATCATCTAGAATGTTTACATTTAGAGATATACAGGGTGTTTCATATGTATGCACCCCCCCCCCCCCACCTCTTAACTCTTACATGAAGCATTGCCACCCTTATGTGTTCCTTATGGAAATTTGCATAATAGCCCAAAGTTTCAGAATTCAGGGGTGCCACTGACAAAAGATACAATGTATCAAAGATTGTGGGTACGGGTCGTTTAGACTTTCTGTTGATTTTGAGGACAATTTAAAGGGCAAATTCAGTTTCGGTATTGCACATTTCTAGCTATTGTCACCATGGCAGAAAGATATGCACACAGATATATAGACAAGATTCATGCAGTGACTTATAGGGAGGTCAGGGACCAAGGAACCACCTTTATCACTAAAAATGAATGGGTAGCAGACAAAGTGAACAGATCTCCGGACTGGCTTAAAAATCTTTACAAAACTACTTATTAATGACCCCCTACCCACATATTTTGATGGATTGTATCTTTTTTCAGGAAGACCTCTTGATTTTTAAACTTTCCAATCCTATGTACATTTTCATAAGGAACAAAATGATATATAACATGATATGGTGGCAATACTACATGTATGAGTTTAAAAGGGGTGCATACATATGAAACACTCTGTATAGTGTTGCGCAGTGTTAATGATGCAGAGCAGTCTTGAGTTTTCGTCTTTTTCTTTTTATGAGTTTTAAAACATTTTTATTCAGATATGCTCAAGACTGGACAGGGATGGAGCGACGATCGAACAATAGGCGAAATCAATAAATTCAAATTATGTTACATTCGCGAATTCAACTAACGGCTGACGGATCAATCTACTATTCTATCGCCAATTCATTTAAATATGAATAGTACCAGCCACAATGCCATTTAATACAAATATTGCATACATGTATTTTATTGCGTTTGGGTCACGTAGTACGAATTAGCAAGAAAATGATTTCTATTTGGTCGTTTAACGTTATGAAAATAGAACGGTAATTGTAAATGCAGTATTACTGAGTGAACGGTGTATGTATTAGTGAATAAGATCACTTCGGCTCTAAGCGGCGAGATAAACTAAGTCTATGTCTTTAAAATGTTTATGAAAAATTTTCGGACAAACCTTTTTCCTTATAACCTCAATTGTTGAGGATTTCAAAGATTTTTAGCATCATGCTCTCAACAGAATTATAATGGGCATTAATGAGTTTGTGATGCTAAAGATAGAAAAGGTTTTACAGGTGGTCGGAAAGTTTTTAATTTTGAAAATGAGATTTGCAGAGCTGTCAAGTGTCCCGCGAATGGCGGGATTATCCCGCGAATTTGATCAAAATTAGGCTAATTCGCGTGTCCCGCAATGTCCCGCGAAGTCCCGCAAATGTGGTTTTTGACCTCCGCGAATTTCCGAAATTGTTGCAATCCCCTATATTGTGATTTTCTTATCTTATAAAAGAAGCTAAGTTTTTGCACTTTTGAGGAGTCAAGTTTACCTAATTTTAAGTACCTAGCATGCTGTTGTTTGGTATCAAAATAAAGAGGAAGGGTTCAACTTTCATTTTAATTACGAAAATAGGGATGTAGGTCAAAAATAGTTCTAACGTTGGGCTTTTTACTATCCATGTGGCCTTCATCTCAGAACTGAGCAAATGTTAGCAAACGCGAGTTACAATAAATGGACGCTGATATCTAGAAAGGGTGCATTGTAGAAAAACCGGGTACCGGGTAGTAAATCCTCCATGTTGGGTTCAAACTTGGTACCCGGTACCCGGTCAAAAAACGGGTACCCAAAAAACGAAAAATACGAATATATAACATAATTAGATTATGAGAAAACGTGTAAGATTTGTTTTGAATTCACAAAAATGTATGTAACATCCTTCAAAATTGAGCTAGAAGCTTCAAATAAAAAGTATATTTAAGGCTCTTTTCTTCCTCTATCGTCATGGCCATATTTTCATCGGTTTTTTTTGGGGGGGGTGCGATCGCACCATCGCACCATCTGCTGGCTACGCCTATGACATTGTAAGACATAACAATTTACAATTCAGTGGACATTTTGTCGAAAATTGGGATAACTTAAATTATGATTAATAATCAAAATCATGTAAATTAACACGTCACCTCCCTGCTAAAGCAACGATAGCTATTTACAGATTTAAATCATAATCAAAACAATTCACGTACCAACAAACGAACTATTGAAAATAGAGTAAGATTGATTTGTCTTGTTTTTCAAATCGTCTTACAATGTCATTGGCGTAGCCAGGAAGGGGTGCGATCGCATCCCCCCCCTCCCCCTTTCATTACCAATGGATATATGATGATAGAGGACGAAAAGAGCCTTAAAATGCTTTTTATTTGAAGCTTCTAGCTCAATTTTGAAGGAAGTTACATACATTTTTGTAAATTCAAAACAAATCTTACACGTTTTCTAATGATCTAATTATGTTGTATATTCGTATATTTCGTTTTTTGGGTACCCGTTTTTTTCGACCGGGTACCAAGTTTGAACCCAGCATGGAGGATTTACTACTAGTTTTTTTTACAAACCCTATCTAGAAAAGTAACCCCATTCCCTATAATTTGATGTAGATTAATCGAACCGCTATATCATGGGCTTTCAATTGAAAGAAAATGCCATGAATAGGTACATTTTAATATATAACATTATGGGGGTAAGCGTTTCATAGTTGTTCACGACGCCAGAAGTGCAAAGTATTGTTCCGAATTTTTGAATTTCGTGTTAGATTACGGTACTCACACCTGAAGCATGGTTTTTGCTTTTGAAAAATTACAATAAAGTTTAATAATATTACTATACGTATTTTGTGAAATTGTGTTGACGTTTATTTAAGTTACAATGCAACGGTGCATTGTATTTGATTAATCAGTATCTGGAAGTTTGATTTAAGTACTTTTATTTAAGTTACAATGCAACGGTGCATTGTATTTGATTAATCAGTATCTGGAAGTTTGATTTAAGTACTTTTACACGCTTTTACATTAGTCCCAATCACGCAAATCCTTGAATGTCCCGGGACATCCTGCAAATTTAGGTGAATGTCCCGCGAAATCCCGCAAATTTAGGGCACTTTGTCTAAAATCTGTCCCTCTATCAAGTTTTTGGTGGTAAACCTGCTAACTATAGCGCAATTAGGGTGTTTGTCCCTCGAATGGTCCCGCGAAATCCCGCGAATTTGATAAAAATTTGGCCTAATTAGCGCAATCACGCAAATCCCTTAAATGTCCCGCGAAATCCCGCGAATTTAGTAGATGTCCCGCAAAATCCCGCGAATTTTGGGCACTGGGTCTAAAAAATCTGTCCCGCGAGAAAATCTTTAGGGGTTGACAGTACTGGATTTGTTAATACTACATTATCGAGAAAGCTTATCAATTGTCCATTATAAACATTTTTGTATATTTTCCTGCTGCGACGCAGCCGCAGAGCCACATTTTGGCAACCAGCATGTATATACGATAACATTATTGTATTTGTAAATAATACACTCGGTTTTTCTGCAGCAGCCGCAGAGCCACATCCTAGTTAATGTTATGTTTCTTAAGTGAAGGTTAGAATAGAAATTGTATTTAAATGACTTGGCCATGAAAAAAGTAGGTTAATCCGTCACCCGTCATTTGACAGTTAAATCGCGAATGCTACCTTCGATTAATAAATCTTATGTATTGGTCAGAGGGCAGGGTGACGAGGTGCTATTAAGCCAGGGTATTGAACCGAGGGATGTATCGTTCTATTCGATATTCTTATTATTGCCACTCAATCATTCAGTAACATCTATTGCAATGTAATCAACGGTGTATTCTATTCAGGGAGACACAGTCCATCATCTCCTAATAACATTCCCAATCATAGAATTCTAATAACTACTCACACAGACGCCGTAATGATAACGGATGCAAGAACAAGTTACATATAGACAGGGGCTTATTACACATGTTATATATATATATTGAACGAAATTAGTGACTCTGTAATGTTAAAAGGCCCCATCTGAAGTGTGAAAATATTTTTCAGTCTCATTTACTATTTTTCAAGACTTTAACACTAATTTTACCAAAAAATGAATTTTTCAAATACATAAAATATTCCACTTAACAAAACAAACATTGCATTTCACACCATGCAAAGAATAAACAAATGACACGCTATTCAAATAAGTAACATATCTAATGTGCCACTTTTAATATTAAATGACTTTTTCAAAACCAAAATGTTATTCAAAACCTCTTTTTGAAATTCAAACATTTTCATAGCATTTGATGACTAGACTACATTATTGGCCAAAGATGGTTTAAACTTTATATGGGGCCTTTAACGAATGCAATATAATAGTGCGTATTTGACATAAATCGAGGTTTGTGTCTATCGAACAAAACGAGACGCCTAATAAATAAATAGATAAACACTTTGGACAACGTAGTACTATTTTCTCATTCTTCACAATTGATAACGGGTGTACAGAATTATGTCAAATTACCCACTCCCTTATGTCACCGTTACGTCCTCTTGCCCCCATGTTAGATCCGACACTATATCTAGTGGGTGTTTTAATTATAATTTTTCCGTGTTATTGTATCGTTTCGTCTATGAATAGTGCTGTATCATTGCGTTATTTCATGCTGTATTCTCGTGCATTATATAGTAATTGTAAATGCATTGCATTGTATTACTATATAGCACTATATAATCTGTACTTTTAGAGTGGAACTTTGCCAAATATACGCTAAGTACCTGAAACTCCAAGCTTGTATGAAAAAATGAATTTAGTTCTATGCAAAATAATAAAATACAAACTGGAAAACATTTTAATTGTACCAGTTCTCTTAACTTTTTGAACGACCCAAATGCACAAATATGTAATCATTATAAAATTTGTCAAGCGTTTTCAGTAAAAATTAGTGTATTCGTCGTAAAAATATGCAGAATCTTAAATTGAAAATATGTTACTGATATCGTTTATGAGCCGTAGATCCGTATTATATATATGAAAACGAAATTGTATTTTGAACTTTTTTTAATTTTTTTATTGTAATCATTGGATAACCCGAATATCAGATCATATCTCCCTTTATCATTTTATCGCCTCGTAGATCAAATATCAAATTGTCGATAAAAATGATATCACTCAAAATATTTATTCTACTTTTGTAAAGGCTGTGAAAAGTTAAAGTTGAGTATGGATACAAACCTATTATATATCACACTTAGTTTTATGGTTCAATACATTTTAGATGTAACAAATCTGACAATAGGCGAGGCAAACTGTGAAAGGCGAGGCAAATTTGAAAATAAATAGGATATAATGCTTTTTTTTGATACCATATTTACAATATGTAATGCGAAAACTGTTATGAAAATTTTATCTTGGTTAAATTTTGGGTGAGGTATTTGCGTCACCTGCTTCACAGTAATATTCATAAATGCACAATAATCATATATGCACCATAATCATAATGTGAACCATGTACTACTTACGTTGTGATGATATCCAACGGTATGTTACGTCCATGTAATTGTATGCGTTGTTATGCTTGTTTCATTGCATTGTTTCACTTTGTCGTTTTTATCAAGAAAATGTTCTAACACAGACGTATACGTCTACGTAAACAAACTACGACATCAACGTTTACGTTAAGTTATTCCAGTATAAACTACACTACACTACGTTTACGTTGTTTGCTTTACGTTCACATTTCACCGTTTATTGAATCTCTACTCGCTTGACTATTCCTATTGATATTTGATTGGAACGCAGGCCTACAATATTCCCTGCTCATTAGCCTGTCCGCTATAGCACTATATGGCATGGAAAACTCGGAATACCCCGTTGGAATAATACATGATGCTGCAGTCTACCCTGTATACACCGTCCCTCTGACAAGGACAGATTAATTAACAATCAGGCGTTCAACCGATCCTAGAGCACCACCGTCTCGCTTATTGAAATACACAAACACGCTTATAGTTCACCATAGCAAGCCAGTTGTATTTGATATGATTTGACGGTTGAGTTTATAGCTTTATCGGAAACGGAGAGTGTAAAACAATATTAGGATATCATGTAAAGGGTTTGCAGCTGCAAATTGCGAGCGGCACATTTTCTCGACGGGCGTAATTACTTGATGCAATATAAAGCTCTATTGTCGGAATGCAAGACCATGTTCTTATAGACAGACATTCAAGGGTTTTAATACCCGGGACTCTGCATGTGTGCCGAACGAAACAACATATGCCGAAATGTTCACGGATGCACGTTTATTCTTAGTACAAGATAGTTCGGAGGTGTAGGCCCCTAAAGTTACAGAATTCAGTAGTAGTCGAAACTAGCATCTCAGTGTTAATCGTCAGAGGGCATTATAAGAACTTCGACTGTAGTGTAAAAACGATTTGGTTACATCATCTATTCCCGGACATCTATTTTACTAAATACTCAATATGGATCAAAATATGTCATTTAGAAGAAGGTGTATTATTTCTTGAAAACATGATTTTTTTACGAAACGTACATTATTTCTTTTCAGATAATTATGCACCTCACTCTCGGGTCGCTTATTCATCGTCGGTTCCCACGCTCAATCACTACGTTCTATCGAGGATAGGTCCAAAGCTTGATGAAGCAAGATATCGCTTATTTGTCTATGCGCAATCTCACGGTCAGTAATACCATATAGTAATCATTTAGAATGGAAGAAACCACAGAAAGATATTCACGTTTTACATTTGGCCTTAAACCTTGGGTTATTCAAAGTGTTCTTAATAATTCAGGCCCGTAGCCAGGGGGGGGGTTCGGGCGTACTCCCGCCCCTGGCCAAAATTTCTTTCAAAATCATGCAGTTTTTAACCATTCTGACTATTTTTTGAGTGATTTTTGGCCAAAGGAGGAGGGAAATTAGCGCAACAGATTTTGGACAGTCATATTTTGGATTTTGGCCATTTTCTGAGGATTTCAACAATTGCATATGTTAGGCCAATGCATTACCTCCAGGAAAATCACTTCTAGAGATGATAAAATAATTTCGACTTTGAGACAGGGTAGATGCAAACAACCCACCCACATGTTTTTCTGAAATGTTTTCCTAATTTTCGACCCCTTCCATCCCTGCTTTTTCGATTTTTCTTGCATCAATATGTTGCATTTTGACACATAGTTAACCACTTTAAAGGAATAAGTGATTCCTTCAGGGGTTTTAAAGATACCCATTATGGGTGACCAAACTTAGCTGAAAGCAATGATTTTTCCTATGGGAAAATAACATGGGAAATATTGTTTTCCACTTTACCTAAAAGGAATCATTTATTCCTTTTAAGGGATTAACTGTGTGTCAAAATGCAACATATTGATGCAAGAAAAATAAAAAAAGCAGGGATGGAAGGGGTTGAAAATCAGGGAAACGTTTCAGAAAAAACATGTGGGTGGGTTGTTTGCATCTACCTTGTCTCAAAGTCGAAATTATTTTATCATCTCTAGAAGTGATTTTCCTGGAGGTAATGCATTCACCTAACACATGGCTTAAAGCATCAAATTTCAAATTTCCTGAAAATTAAATGGCGAAACACAAGGGCCAAGATATTGGTGGGTTTGGGCAGGTTCTCCCTCTAAGAAATTTTGAATGAATGAGATTTGATTGAGTGCTTTTTAAGATTAATGTAGACCCATTACATATACTTTCAAATCTAGAGGAAAATGTATTTTCACAGGAAAAAGTAGACAAATATGACCTTAATTTTTTGAAACCCTTGCTTGACCCCCTACTCCCCCCCCCCCCCCCCCCCCTAGAGATAAATCCAGATTTGTATTGAACTCAATGGGGACAGATTTTGGTTCATTTTTTCCTGAAATTCCCTGAAATTCCTGAAGACTTTAAGCCATGCTAACATATGCACCTGTTTAAATCCCCAGGAAATGGCCAAAATCAAACATATGACTGTCCAAAATCTGTTGCACTAACTTCCCTCCTCCTTTGCCAAAGTGAACCTCCCCCTAGATTTTTTGGGAAAAGTGGACCCCCCTTGGAAAATTCTGGCTACGGGCCTGATAATTAAATGTGATTCCATCATGTATACACCGGGTCTTTTATAAAATTCCATGATATAACGCATCTGTACTTGATTCTGTAGAAATACTCAGATACAGCAAGAATATGGGGGTGAAAAAACTGCAAGCAATTAACATCAAGTATAATATCTCCCAAGAGATCTGCCACGTGTTGTTAATTGGTAAAGTAATTTAAGATTTAAAATGAAAAAATGGGTCATTTTCATATAATAAATGTGGCAGAGAAAAATGAACAGTTATTATAAAACATCTTTAGTTTTCCTGAAATAAAGTTTCCACCGGGTTGGACAGCCATATTAATTCATGTCTGTAGTACTAGTATAGCTATAGGTATTTGTACAATCAGTCGATCATAACATGTTTACTGTACTGCCTGTCGATTCATAGTCCTCAAAATAATTTTGAATATGATCGTATTTGTATGGTTGACTTTAAAACTGCTATTCCAAAAATAAGACACGCTCGCTTTAGATGGAGCACCAATGAAAGAACTAAGATTTACACACATATTAGTGTTGTAAACGACAGTATATACATAAGGGTTATGTACTGGGAGGTTTTGGATACAGGTTTTATCCCAAGGGAAATATGTGTATACTTTCCCTTGGGATAAACCCTTTATCCAAAACCGACCGTAAATAACAAGTGTTTTCCATACCTACTAAGGTTCTAGGTATATTCTTATATATCAATATTGTGCTATAAAGTTCAAATTTCAACGCATTTTCTTAGTCTTAGCAGATCAATGTATTGATAAAATATAATCTTTGTATCCATCCCACCCACTCCTCAGTAATAGATTCCTAGATACAGTATATATTCCCTCTCGTTATTTACCTAGAACCTTAGTAGGTATGGAATACATTTATATTTTAGCCCTACTTCCAACTTTATGCCCTGGGCCTCGGTGTGAGAATCTCCAGTGGATTGTGTAAACAAATAAGACCAATTCTCACCACCTGGCGAGACAATTTAATATAATACAGAGTTAAAAGCGTATCACATAAAATGGTGGGTACAGTAAAACCTGTCTTACCTTGTATTCGCGAATTCAACTGCTAGCTGTCGGCTGACGGATTAATCCGATTAACCTCCGATTTTATGACTTATCATTTAAATATGAATACAACCTGCCACTATTCCATTCACATTTAAATGGGTTTGCCATAAAAAGTAGATTAATCCGATAGCCGAAAGTTGTATTCGTGAATACTAGCTTCCTGAACACCTTTCTAGTGAACACCTGTCTCTAGTGGACACCCTTTCCCACACATACTCTAGTGACTTGTGTATTAATTACCCTCGCTATAGTGAACACCTTCTAACACTGAACTTTTTTTCTCGGCAAAAAATGTTCAATATACACAGGTTTTACTGTATATTACTTCAGCAATCGTTGGAACATCAGAAAACATGATACGGTGTATTTCAGAAAGCCTATATATTTGTAAATTGCCATTCTAAATAAATAACAAACTTTCTGACTCCGAGTATGAAATCAGAACAGTCTCAAGCAATTAGGATAGATCTTGGATTAGAATATTTGTTGCCATAGCAATGTCATTGTTTGTTATATGTAAGGCTTCTAGCACTTTGTCTCTTGTGAATCCCATTTCCGTTAGTCTGCCAACCTGGAAAAAAATTTTAAAAAAACTATGGAAGGTATAGTGTCCAAATGCAAAACTATTTTGGGAAATTGAAATTTATTTCATTATCCTTTTAACCACTCTGACCCCCTGCCCTGAAAAACTAGAAAAACAGCAACTCCACGGAGTAGCAAATCCCACCGAACAAAACATGTTTTGATAAAAAAAATTGAGCCAAATTCATCTACTGGTATTTGAATTATCAAAGATTATGTCTTTATGAAACATGGTTGCCATTTTGAAATTCAGCTGTCATCTTTAGATTTCTTCTTTAGCAGAGAATGTCTGTACAATGGTATCTGGGTTATCAAAGGTTACTTTTTTAATGAAAAATGGCAGCCATTTTGAAATTCAGCTATCGCCTTTGAAATTTCTTCTGAAGCAGATCTCCCTTTTCCCTAAACATCAGCATATAAAATTGGAACCAAATCCATCCACTAGTATTTGAGTTATCATTAATTACGTTTTTTTTTTACGAAAAATGGTGGCCATTTTGAAATTCAGTGGCCATCTTGAAAATTCATTTTTGAGCAGAACTTCTTTGTCTCTAGGCATCAGCATATAGAATTTGAACCAAATCCATTCAATGGTAATTGAGTTATCAAAGATAATGTTTTTTTTATGAAAAATGGCCGCCATTTTAAAATTTAGCTGCCACCTTAAAAATCCTTTCTTGAGCAGAGCTCCTATGTCCCTAGGCAACAGCATCTAAAATTTAAACCAAATTCATTCAATGGTATTTGAGTTATCAAAGATAATGTTTTTTTACAAAAAAGGCCGCCATTTTGAAATTTAGCTGCCATCTTGAAAATCCTTTCTCGAGCATGAGCTCCTATGTCCCTAGGCATCAGCATCTAAAATTTGAACCAAATCCATTCAATGGACTTTGAGTTATCAAAGATAACATTTTTTACGTAAATTGGCCGCCATTTGGAAATTTGGTGGCCATCTTGAAAATGTCTTCTTGAGCAAGGCTCCTTTATACCAAGGCAACAGCATATAAAATTTGAACCAAATCCATCCACTAGTATTTGAGTTATTAAAGATTAAATTTTTTTCCGAAAAATGGCCGCCATTTTGAATAAAGCGGCCATATTGAAAATTCCTTCTCGAGCAGAGGTCCTACACCCATAAGGCATAAGCCTATAAACCAGTATTTGAGTTATTGCCCGGACACACGAATGGACGGACGGACGGACGAACGGACGGACGGATGAACGGACGGACGGACTAACGGCTTTTCTATATCCCCCTCGAACTTCGTTCGGTGGGATAATAAAAAACCTATGTGAGGTATAGTGTCCAAATGCAAAACTATTTTGGGAATTTGAAATTTAATTCATTATCGTTTTTCCCTCTACTATTCTACAACTGTTGACACTTAGAGATAATTGCCCACAAACATTAACAAAATTATTCTCTAATGAAATCATGATTTCCCCCCTCCCCTTTCGTTTCAGGAAATTTCACATTTGAACATAGTCCCTGAATGGATTTCATGAAAATCCACTTCGTTCAAAGAATTTCTATCCAAGAAAAGGCAATGTCAGTATGGTTAATAAATGCATGATATTTGTACAATTTAGGAATCCCACAAATACAAACCAGACCTCTAGAATGGCTTGGCTGTATACTCAGGCATTGGGCAGTGTCTATTAATAGACTAGTGGTTTGACCAAATCATTGCAAAATCTTGAATTATCACACTATGGACTGTTTACTACCCATGAATCCTACATTTTGCATTAAATTAAATAAGTCTTTGCTACTTTTTTAAAAAGGGAGAGGATAAAAATGAAATGCCCAAACTCAGTGCAATATGTTTCTGTTCTATTTTTGATGGATTCTTAAGGTTTACTTTCTCATGTTTGGAATATAAGGGTTAGATGTAGATGTATCTCTCTTTTTGGCTCTGCTCATTGATTTATCGCTTGTCATTGTAGTTTTCTTCAATGAGAAAATAGCAGTCATCCTATTTATTACATTCCTTATCTTATTACTTGACTAAGTACCCTTTGCATTCGTTTGACTTCACTTCTTAAAAGAGAGCTTCGTCTTAACTAGACTCTGCATGCAGGGTATTGAATAATCTGCCTGGTATTTTTGCATTTCTATACAATTTGGAGTGTTCACGACATGCCTGTTTACTTTATTCCTTGCTCATTCTTCTCAATTTGATAGTATTTCGCATTCCACATACCTGTTCTTCTGATATTTGTGGTGCTGGTTGTTGACCACTAGATGACGCCACTGCATTACCTACATCTCCTGCTCCATCTATTGACAAAGACAAACATGAATCTCATTGAATATTTTTGTTAAAACCTTTTGTAATCAACAGGGGACATTTTGAAATAACAATATAAAAAAAAGATTCTCAGAATATTTCTGTAAAAATGTAAAATGTATTTATTTTCTAGTATTTTTATATCAAAGTTGATATTCTCAACTCAACCCCTTTTTAATATATTCCTTTCCATTTTAAATTGATTTTTAAACGTGTACAATGACATTTTCTCTCACATTTACTGTACCTGGTTGAGGCTGTATGTTCCTTCTTTCCCTAACTGCATTTGCATAATTCTGTTGCTGCCCAAATGCAGCAGCAGCACCCATATTCTAAAACATTGGGAAATAAATTTTAAATAATTGACATAAACACACATTTTGATATTATACAATGCACAGGTAGATGTACAGGGTGGGATAAAAAAAATTTGATTGAATACTATTATAAGGTTAACATTTTTGGCTTTACCCTGTATACACAGGTGTGATAAATACTATTATAGGCAGATGTACAGGGTAGGCTACATTTGTTGCCCATTCTAATTGTACACTACTTTAATAAGGGTAAGAATTCTTGGCTCACCCCATATATACAGGTGTGACATACTATTCTAGCCATGCTTTAATAAACCAGAACCACGGCAACGCCAAAGCGTAGCGAATCCCATCGAACAGAAATGGCTGGCATTTTTACAAACGAATAGCAAATATCATAAAACAACACACCAGAAAGGCCACCATTTTCAAAATGGTTGCTCACTAGCCAAGTTGTCATCAGAAGAAATAATATGCTTTTAAGTAGCCACCTCTAAAATTTTTGAAAAATCGCACACGTACTTGTAAAATAACACACATAAAAATGGTGGCCATTTTTCAAAATGGCCGACTACTCCCTAAAGTTTTATTAGACAATGTGCTATGCTTAAAGTATTCACATATCAAATATGAACAAAATCGCTACACTACTTTTCGAGTTATAGTAAAATACATTAAAATGGCAGCCATTTTTCAAAATTTTTTTCAAAATGGCCGCCTTCTTCCAAAAGTGTCATAGGACAGTGTGCAATGCTTATAGTATTCACATACCAAATATGAACAAAATCGCTCCACTATTTTTTGAGTTATAGCAAAAATCATAAAATGACGAGTAAAGGCCGCCATTTTTCAAGATGGCTGCCATGTGCTTCTTTAATATCTACGTTATAATAAATACGTTAAAATGGTGGCTATTTTTCAAAATGGCCACTGTCTACCAAAAGTGTCATTAGAAATAGACAGTGTGCCATGCTTATAGTATTCACATACCAAATATGAACAAAATCACTCCACTACTTTTCGAGTTATAGTAAAATACATTAAAATGGCAGCCATTTTTCAAAAAAATTTTCAAAATGGCCGCCTCCTTCCAAAAGTGTCATAGGACAGTGTGCAATGCTTATAGTATTCACATACCAAATATGAACAAAATCGCTCCACTATTTTTTGAGTTATAGCAAAAATCGTAAAATGACGAGTAAAGGCCGCCATTTTTCAAGATGGCTGCCATGTGCTTCTTTAATATCTACATTTGTAGCATTATTAATGTCCTTTATAATTTTTTTACATTTAAAACATATTGCTATTACAGTTTTACATATTACACCGAAATTACTGTAAAATCGGCACTAAAATGGCCGCCATTTTGAAATGAGTGGCCATTTTGAAAATCGGCTTTCGAGCAGAACTTTTTCCCCCATAGGGAATATGTGTACAAAATATGAACAAAATCGGGCTAACGGTATTTGAGTTATTGCCCGGACGGACGGACAGACGGACGGACGGACGGACGGACGGACGGACGGACGGACGGACGGACGGACGTACATACGTACGGACGGACGGACGGACAGACGGACGGACGGAGGCGTTCCCTATATCCCTCCGAACTTTGTTCGATGGGATAATGACTAATTATTGCAAGTTGATTTTGAGAAAATAAGGTCAAATATTTTGTTATGTGTGAAAGTACAATCAAGAATAAAGCAATTGGATGAGCAATATAGAAAATTAGACAAACTTATTGAACACCCTCTAAATAGTTGAGAACCTAATTACTTTTTAATAATTTATTTTGGCTCATGGCAACTGGATTGTTTTTCAATGACTCAACTCAACTGAATTCACAGTTATTAATTTTATAACATTTTAGTTCAACAATTCAATAATAACTAGACATGTAAATTGAACAAGTTCAATTTAAGACTCCAGATTTCAAACTTTTTTTAAGCTGAGTCATCCAGAACTTGTAAGCTGAGTCATTCAGAATAAGCTGAGTCAGCTAGATTATAAGCATTTAGACAACTTTTAAGACTCCATGTGCTTAACATGGGGATATCATCATATCGACTTTTCGAGATTTCAAACCGCTATAACTATCTAACCAGAAATTGGATTGAAATTTGGTTTAAAGATTCAGATTCCTGAGAAAATTCTAACCTTAATTCATAACTCATACGTTAAATTTGGGGAACTTTTTATTTTGACCTACATTTCGGACACCATATCTCAAAAGTTGGTCAAAATACTTTCTGACGGCAAAAGGCTGACACTATTAGCACACTCTTCGCTACCTGTATACAAAATTTCGAAGCAAATCATTAAAGTGTAATGTCAGAATCGCAAAAATAAGGAAAAACTATGAATTTGACCTAGATTTTGACCTAGGCATTTTGGTGTCCAAATTTTAAAGCTAGATAGCCTTCGAGGTCCCCTTCTTTTATAGGCTTTCAGAATCTTAAGCTGTACTCAGTTTATATCTGGTATTTTACACTTCAAAAAAATCTTTTTTCTCATTGACATAACATGGGGGACCAAATTTAGCGATTTTTGAGCTTTCAAAACGCCATAACTTCCGAACCGAAAGTCGGATTGAAATTTGATTTGCAGATTCGGATTCCTGGGAAAATTCTACACTTAATTCATAGCTCATATGTTAAATTTTGAGAATTTTTTATTTTGACCTACTTTTCGGACACCATATCTCAAAAGTGGGTCAAAATATTTTCTGACGGCAAAGGCTAACACTATTAGCACACTCTTTGCTACCTGTATACAAAATTTTGAAGTAAATTATTAAAGTGTAGTGTCAGAATCGTAAAAATAAGGAAAAACTATGAATTTGACCTAGATTTTGACCTAGGCATTTTGGTGTCCAAAGTTTGAAGCTTTGTAGCTTTTGAGGTCCCCTTCTTTTATAAGCATTCATTATGTTAAGCTGTACTCAGTCTATATCTTGTATTTTACACTTCGAAAAAGTCTTTTTTCCAATTGACTTAACATAGGCACCAAATGTAGCGATTTTTGAGCTTTCAAAACGCCATAACTTCCGGACCGGAAGTTCGATCCGAATTTGGTTTGCAGATTTGGATTCCTGAGAAACTTCTACATCTTTTTCATAGCACACACATTCGATTTGGAGGATGTTTAGTCGTGACCTACATTTCGGACGCCATATCTCAAAATCGGTAAGAGTAATCAAAATTCTGATGTCATATCTTTGATTCGCCTTTTTCTAAGCTACACGATGAAAAAAAGATGAAGGAGTTACATAGAATATTGACGAAGATATGATGAAGAATGTTAAAAATGTAAGATTTGACCTAATTCTTGACCTTTGACCTAGATAAAAATTTGACCTAATTTCCCAGAAGGCCGGATACAGTCTTTAGTTAACCATGTAAGTTGGATTAAGTAAGCTGTTATAGTTGACGAGAAATTTGGTGAGGAGGAAGAAAAAAGAAAGAAAAATAATAAAGAAAACAGGCAAAAACAATAGACTCCAGATTTTCAATCTGGAGTCTAATTATACAATAGAAAAAATTGAAAACAAATACCAGTTGTGGGCGGCCAATATTCATCCGCTGCCGATATTGCAGTGCCTGCGCTAGCGCCATCTGTTGTTCTAACTTCTCTATGTGAATCTGCCGTTGTATTTCTAATGTAGCCCCAATTGCTAGATCTCGACCAATGGGCCTGGGAGTTTTCAACAACCAGCCTATAGTCTTGTCACATATGTTAGAGATGAATGAAGGAATTTTGAGGATTTGCTGGACTTTGAGCAGGTTTCTTCTGTATATGATACCTGATATCTGTGGAAAAGAAAACATTAATTAATTAAAGGGTGACGCATATCGTTTAGCAAATCGAACGCTCGTTTCTGGTGTTGCTCACCATTTAGTATAAAAAATAAAAAGGCTCGATCCCGGAATAATACTCAAGGGTTCAAAGGCTCGAGGTCATTGTGTCAACACCTCTAACTTTTATATAACATTGGTACAGTATAGATCGTCACACATTTATAAAAAGGAGATTTTCATTTTATACGGGAAGCTTATCGGAACCCTTTAAGCTTCATAATTCCATTAAATAAATAAAATGTACAGATCATTGTAAAACCTCTCAGGTCAAACATTTTTTGTCCATTTAATTAAGGTTTCGGGGGCCTTCTTTCATTCATTTTCTCTTTTTTGGCTATTGTAGAGCACTTTACTTTTCTCAATTTTTGTAACTCAAGTTGCCAAGTCTTTCATTGAAAAGAAAGGTGTGTGCCTATTAGAGAGAATGGGGAACATGAAAAACAACATCCTCCTAAGCAGGTATCCAGAATCCGTACCTCCTTCTTCCCCTGCTATAACCAATTTGGGAGCGCTCGATTAAACTAAATCATGTGATCTAATTATGCGCAATGACTTATACATGATTTCCATCGCAGTGTTGCAACAGCCAATCAGATTGCGAGTTCTTAATCTGGGAAATGCTAACTGCTTATCGCAGGGGGTAAAAAGAAAGAATATATTCTGGATTTTGAAGCCCTGTGATCGGAGGATGGAAAAACAATAGAGAATAATAGAATAGAGAGGCTTTGATATCTCACTGAAGTCTCTTTATTAATGTGATCCTAGAAGATTTGCATATTGTTAACCATTTTAGACTTTAACTTCCTTTATCCGATGACTTCTTTCTACTAGAAGGATCTGATGACATGAAATACTAACTGTGTACAATTTTCTACCAAGATATCTTTTCTTTCTTTTGAATTTCTGAAATTTTGCATAATTCCCATTGACAAAATGTTGAGCAATCTTTGACATTTGATTAACTCTTTTAAAGGTTATGATGCTAAATCAAATCATCTGGTTGCAAGCCAATGGAGTCTTACATTATTTAATTGGAAACACCTGATTTAATTGAGAGATAAAGTATCTTTTTACAGTTTTCTCTATGCTTGTATACATAGTAAGCATTCTAGCTGTAACAAAACTACTAGTGCCATCTTTATAACAAGTTATCTGTTAAAGGGATGATAATTGTTACCATAAATAGCTGTATAATATTATAAATTCATAGCTGTATGTAACTTACTGACTCAAGGAATTTTTGAGATATACTTTTTGATCATTGGAGCTTGACAAAAATCTATGTTCATCTAGAAAAGTGATTAATGCTTTTTAACCTCTTGAATCCCAGGCTCTAAAATTGGTTGAAACCAGAGAATTTCCCATTTTTGCAAACTTGCCATTTTACTGCATACACAGCGATACGTAAGTGGTATCAGAATGATTGCTGGTGCATGTAATACATTATCAGAATGATTGCTGGTGCATGTAATACATTAGCAGAATGATTGCTGGTGCATGTAATACATCATCAGAATGATTGCTGGTACATGTAATACATTATCAGAATGATTGCTGGTGCATGTAATACATTATCAGAATGATTGCTGGTGCATGTAATACATTATCAGAATCATTGCTGGTGCATGTAATACATTATCAGAATGATTGCTGGTGCATGTAATACATTATCAGAATGATTGCTGGTGCATGTAATACATTATCAGAATGATTGCTGGTGCATGTAATACATTATCAGAATGATTGCTGGTGCATGTAATACATTATCAGAATGATTGCTGGTGCATGTAATACATTATCAGAATGATTGCTGGTGCATGTAATACATTATCAGAATGATTGCTGGTGCATGTAATACATTATCAGAATGATTGCTGGTGCATGTAATACATTATCAGAATGATTGCTGGTGCATGTAATACATTATCAGAATGATTGCTGGTGCATGTAATACATTATCAGAATGATTGCTGGTGCATGTAATACATTATCAGAATGATTGCTGGTGCATGTAATACATTATCAGAATGATTGCTGGTGCATGTAATACATTATCAGAATCATTGCTGGTGCATGTTATACATTATCAGAATGATTGCTGGTGCATGTAATACATTATCAGAATGATTGCTGGTGCATGTAATACATTATCAGAATGATTGCTGGTGCATGTAATACATTATCAGAATGATTGCTGGTGCATGTAATACATTATCAGAATGATTGCTGGTGCATGTAATACATTATCAGAATGATTGCTGGTGCATGTAATACATTATCAGAATGATTGCTGGTGCATGTAATACATTATCAGAATGATTGCTGGTGCATGTAATACATTATCAGAATCATTGCTGGTGCATGTAATACATTATCAGAATGATTGCTGGTGCATGTAATACATTATCAGAATGATTGCTGGTGCATGTAATACATTATCAGAATGATTGCTGGTGCATGTAATACATTATCAGAATGATTGCTGGTACATGTAATACATTATCAGAATGATTGCTGGTGCATGTAATACATTATCATGAATTAAAAACACTTTTGTTTTTTAAGATCAGGTTTGCATATTTTTAAGGCCAGAGAGAATACTTCACAGAAATGTACATACCACGCCACACACAGCTACGACGAATGACTCTGGGCTCGAGCTTGCTATCTGAAAAAAATAACCTCGCTTGCATTAATGCTAATTAAAAAAAGTGAGGCAAATAGGAGATGTAGGTGCAAACAAATACATGTAGTAAATGTAGGCGCATTAATACATGCAAATAGTATTTGGTATTTAGAAATTTGGATCTATGATCAAAAACATAGAGGATATCCTATGATATTTTGAGGGATAGCTTTTTTATCCATGAGTGGATCCAGGAAATATCCATGAATGGAAAATAATGATAGCCAAAGAAAATAATGGATAACCTATTTATCCCATGGTTGGTGTGCTAACTGCCGTCTTTATTTAAGAAGGTTTATACAGAAATTTTGCAAATAATAGACATTTCCAATAAATCCTATACCCCTTTTTCTGAACCAAGAAAACTAGGATATATTGGCTAGATTTATGACGTCAAACTTTACAGGCAGCAATGTTTGTGAACAAAATTGAAAGAAATTTTTGAAAATTAGGAATATTTTAATCCTATTTCTGCACTGAAATTGTAAGAATGACATCATAACCAATAGATGGCATGATTTACTGGATTGGTCTATCATCCAAACCTTTTGGGCTAATGTTCATCACATTTACTTTTTCACCTTCATTGATTCCGAAATGTCAAAAATTCTTCAAGAAATTTTACTCCAAGTCTATTAATCGGATTTGTATTTTTCTGGGTCTCGTGAAGATTCTTGGATGCCTGTTTAAGAATCTGTTTAGCTGTAATTTTCTGATGTATGTAAAGGTTTACCTGTAATCTAGTTCTAATGGGAATTTTCACCTGTACAGTATGTAAATTGGTATACCTGTAATCCAATGATGTATGTAAATGACTTCCCAGTTACAGGTATTCCCAGTATGTAAATTGGTATACCTGTAATCCAATGATGTATGTAAATGACTTCCCAGTAACAGGTATTGGGTATCCCCTGTATGTAAATTGGTATACCTGTAATCCAATGATGTATGTAAATGACTTCCCAGTAACAGGTATTGGGTATCCCCTGTATGTAAATTGGTATACCTGTAATCCAATGATGTATGTAAATGACTTCCCAGTTACAGGTATCTCCTGTATGTAAATTGGTATACCCGTAATCCAATGAAGTATGTAAATGACTTCCCAGTAACAGGTATTGGGTATCCCCAGTATGTAAATTGGTATACCTGTAATCCAATGATGTATGTAAATGACTTCCCAGTAACAGGTATTGGGTATCCCCAGTATGTAAATTGGTATACCTGTAATCCAATGATGTATGTAAATGACTTCCCAGTAACAGGTATCCCCAGTATGTAAATTGGTATACCTGTAATCCAATGATGTATGTAAATGACTTCCCAGTTACAGGTATCCCCAGTATGTAAATTGGTATACCTGTAATCCAATGATGTATGTAAATGACTTCCCAGTTACAGGTATCCCCAGTATGTAAATTGGTATACCTGTAATCCAATGATGTATGTAAATGACTTCCCAGTTACAGGTATCCCCAGTATGTAAATTGGTATACCTGTAATCCAATGATGTATGTAAATGACTTCCCAGTAACAGGTATCCCCAGTATGTAAATTGGTATACCTGTAATCCAATGATGTATGTAAATGACTTCCCAGTTACAGGTATCCCCAGTATGTAAATTGGTATACCTGTAATCCAATGATGTATGTAAATGACTTCCCAGTTACAGGTATCCCTAGTATGTGAGTCATGGCCACCCTTGGGATATCACAGAAATATGGTACAAACATTGACAAAACCATACCATACCTGAAACAAGACACATATTTATTAATACATACTTTGAAGTGCAATTATAATGCCTGCCATGTCATCAAACCAGTATGTTCAAAAAGTTACTCAAGTCTTGGCACTAGGATGCTCTTTCTTGAACATAGTAGCAGTGAGTACTAAAGAGGAGTACTAGGACAAGGAAATGAGTACAAAAAAGAGTTTTAGGGCAAAAATGTGAGTACATATGTAAATAAGCTTAATTCAATCTCACGTTCTTATTGTTTAGCAATCGCAGTACAAAATGCTCATTACAATAAATAGATGCTTATTTAGCATTTTTGGGGATTGGTCGAAAGTGTGGACCCTCTTTATACGGACCACCTGTCAACAAGTAACAGTTTTGTCCAGTCCGGAGAGTGTTCATTGTTCGCAGGTTTTACTGTACTGTAGTACTTACGGTCCAACAGGCATCTCTCCCAATGGTAGATCCAGCTTTCTTGCAATAAACTGAGACCCAACTTCCAATACCATGGAGAGAACACTTGTCGCAAATAAAGTGGACTAAAACACAACATACAATGCTCAAACATTATTAGCAGCTGAAACAATTTTTTCAGAATTTTATAACATTTCAAAATCTTTTTAGTTTTCAATATTACATGCATTCAAAAGTCTATACATATATATACATACGAGGGTTGATCATAAAGTTCTCATAATATCTATATTTTTCTGTTTTCAATATTTTCTTATGAAAATTTCACAGAATGTGCAGAATGGAATGTTTTATTAATCCAGCAAAAATCTTTAGAATAACAGAAACATACAATGCTTAAACATTATTAGCAACTGAAACAGTTTTTTTCAGAATTTTATAACATTTCAAAATCTTTTTAGTTTTCAATATTACATGCGTTCAAAATTCTATACATATATATACATATAATAGTGTGGTGAGGTAAAGGAACATATTTGCTTACTGCAAATTTTCTCGAGCCATAACGTCTCTCAAACACCCTGAAGTAATAGATTAGCATTGTAGCGCATATTAGGTCCTTTGTGTCCAGAAATGCTACCTTGCTTGTCAACAGTCTCCATAGCTGAAAATTAATAAATTAATAAACAATATATGTAATTACCAAGGTCTCAGTGCAGTAGGTATTTACAAGTTTCCCAGCCACTCAACTAGGGGGCCATTAACCGAAACTTTGTAAAGTTAAGAATTTGTAAAATTCATTGTTCTCTAACTATGACATCATTGTATCCGTGGTTACAACAAATGATTTATGAATTCGTAACTTTACGATGTTTCTGTTAATGATTTCCTGGTGACTAATTCTGGTCAGATAATGTGGCAGAAAATGGCAGAAAATGGTAGACAATAGTACCATGAGTCAGTAGTAAATTTCATTTGGTGAAAGTACATTCTAAACATTACTGTGAACTTACAAACTTAACTGTGTCTGTACAATATAAAGCAAATCAATACTATACAATGTTCTTTGGAATTTATAACATAAAAAGTGATATTTGAGAAAAAGTGGCGGCCATTTTGTATCTTTGTGACATGATTTTCTAGACATTATTTTTTATTTATAAAATAAGGTTAATTATAATTATTTGTGGTGAAACTCTTGAGAAAATACATAGAACTGGATACAGACAAGGAATAGGCAGTCAAAAACCTTTTAGAAATGTATACTGTGATTAAAATAGGAAGAAAAGCCATAGCAGTATTTTGAAAAATATACTTATACGATATCTCTGATCTCACATGCGAGGGAGGAGGAGTCGCAATACAGCGAAAAAAAAATGTACAATATTTTTTGCTGCCATCATATGATGTCACAATTCCTTTTAAAAGCTCATTGTTCTGACTTTACTTGATTACTTCATTTCAGGATTACCCAAAGATTGAAAAGCTGAATCCCTTTAAGTTCTTATGAATTTTGACAATTTTTCTTCATCTTGAAATATCAACAAATTCTATATTTCATAAGATTTCTTTTCAAAAAATAAAAGATTTGAAAGAACAAAATCAGTAGGACATTGACATTTTCTTGAATAATGCACTCCCAACATTTTATTCTCTCTAACTCTTGACATGTCAGCCTACTAGTACAGTGATCTCCCCAGCATTAACCTCTTTAATCCCAGACTTTAAAATCGGTTGAAACCAGAGAATATTTCATTTTTGCAACCTTTTAACGTTGCAAAAAAACGTAGTCAAGAGGTTAAAGCAAGTGGGCGCAGCATCCAGCTGAAATTTCAGAAACAGACTTGCACCCACCTGAAAATTCATTTGCACCCACTTGAAAATGAGAAAAATCATGAAAAAATGGGCATAAATTGCCCAATTTTGGTCTGAATTGTGAAAATGAGAATTGTGCACCCACTTGAGAAAAAATCCTGTGGAGAACACTGTGGTAAGTTGATTTTTTGTAAAATCCACCATATGGTATGAGGATTTTACTGACTCTCCCAGTTATCATTAATACCTTCTGAATTGCTAACATCCCTCATAAGTCAAGTGAACAAACCTGGTTTTCCTGGAATATTTGTGTAAGAGTATAGCTGAATAATGGCTTGTGGGTGTGGAGTGGAATATTCAAAGCAAATGATGTCAACACAACACCTCCAAGTAGAGCTTTGCTGACAGGAGCATGATCTGAAGATAAACAAACATAAGACCTTTAAATGGGGTTTTAATGGAAGACATTGGCATGTGGGTGTAGAGTGGAATATTCAAAGCAATGATGTCAGCACAACACCTCCAAGCAGAGCTTTGCTGATAGGGGCATGATCTGAAAATAAACAAACATGAGACCTTTAAACGGGGTTTATATGGAAGACATTGGCTTGTGTGTATGGAGAGGAATATTCAAAGCAATGATGTCAGCACTACACCTCCAAGCAGTGCTTTGCTGACATGGGCATGATCTGAAGATAAACAAACATAAGACCTTTAAATGGGGTTTATATGGAAGACATTGGCTTGTGTGAGTAGAGTGGAATATTCAAAGCAATGATGTCAACACAACACCCCCAAGCAGAGCTTTGCTGACAGGGGTATGATCTGAAGATAAACAAACATAAGACCTTTAAACGGGGTTTATATGGAAGACATTGGCTTGTGGGTGTAGAGTGGAATATTCAAAGCAATGATGTCAGCACAACACCTCCAAGCAGAGCTTTGCTGATAGGGGCATGATCTGAAGATAAATAAACATAAGACCTTTAAACGGGGTTTATATGGAAGACATTGGCTTGTGTGTGTAGAGTGGAATATTCAAAGCAATGATGTCAACACAACACCCCCAAGCAGAGCTTTGCTGACAGGGGTATGATCTGAAGATAAACAAACATAAGACCTTTAAACGGGGTTTATATGGAAGACATTGGCTTGTGTGTGTAGAGTGGAATATTCAAAGCAATGATGTCAGCACTACACCTCCAAGCAGAGCTTTGCTGACAGGAGCATGATCTGAAGATAAATAAACATAAGACCTTTAAATGGGGTTTATATGGAAGACATTGGCTTGTGGGTGGAGTTGAATATTCAAAGCAAATGATGTCAACACAACACCTCCAAGCAGAGCTTTGCTGACAGGAGCATGATCTGAAGATAAAAACACATGAGTCTCATGTGTTTTTATCTTCAGATCTCAGAGACCTTTAAATGGGGTTTATATGGAAGACATTGGCTTGTGGTTGTGGAGTACAATATTCAAAGTAAATTATGTCAACACTAAACCTCCAAGCAGAGCTTTGCTGACAGGAGCATGATCTGAAGATAAATAAACATAAGATCTTTAAATGGGGTTTATAAGGAAAACATTAACTTGTGGTTGTGGAGTGGAATATTCAAAGCAATGATGTCAGCACTACACCTCCAAGCAGAGCTTTGCTGACAGGAGCATGATCTGAAGATAAATAAACATAAGACCTTTAAATAGGGTTTACATAGAAGACATTGGCTTGTGTGTGTGGAGTGGAATATTCAAAGCAAATGATGTCAGCACTACACCTCCAAGCAGAGCTTTGCTGACAGGAGCATGATCTGAAGATAAATAAACATAAGATCTTTAAATGGGGTTTATATGGAAGACATTGGCTTGTGTGTGTAGAGTGGAATATTCAAAGCAAATGATGTCAGTACCACACCTCCAAGCAGAGCTTTGCTGACAGGAGCATGATCTGAAGATAAATAAACATAAGACCTTTAAATGGGGTTTATATGGAAGACATTGGCTTGTGTGAGTAGAGTGGAATATTCAAAGCAATGATGTCAACACAACACCTCCAAGCAGAGCTTTGCTGATAGGGGCATGATCTGAAGATAAATAAACATAAGACCTTTAAATGGGGTTTATATCATATGTAAATGCACCAGAATGATATTACAGATATGTCAGAAAGACAGAAATGATTCGTGAAATCATAATTTAATTGGTAGTTTATGATTGATTGAAAGTTTAATTTTCACAGCACGATTTCTGTAAATTTATTATCGCCCAAAAATTTTTGATTTGAAATGAAAACTTTCAATTGATTTTGCAAAGTAAAATTCCTATGATTGTGTAAGATGAAGCGATTTTATTAAAAACTAAGCTTTATATAAGATGTAACATCCCCAATTTGTCTCCAATTTTACATATTTTGGTTACATTTTGATGATTCCTTTACACAATCACACAGCTATTTTCAGCGGAAGTGCTGATGAATACAATATAACTTCGGATGGGGATGATTCTGACTTCGGCTGATAAATAAGCCAGATTAACCAATCAAATTTTCAATAAGATGATTTTTTATAAATTATTGAAAAAAATAAAAGCCAAAAAACTGCAAACTACAAATAGCGGTTGTATCATTTTCCAAAGATAAGATCGTGAAAAGGCTACGTCGGGAACAAACTTTTGGAACAAATTCATGCAGTATTTATCAATTCTTGGTAAGTAAACGCTAATTTGTGTGTTTATTAGTTTGTCAAAATAAAAGATTATATCAATTGTTATCAGTTGAGCACTTATTCTTTCTTCGATCTTTAAAAATAAATTTATTTTGGGCTATTATAAGCAAAAGTGAAATTGTAATATCACTTGTCAAAACAAAATAATTTCACAGGTAAAATCCCAGGAATATTGGATACACGGTATAGCTTTGATATTGATAATTTTGCAATTTCTAACATTGAAATATTAAAATAAATGGATATAATGAATTATAAAAAATATAAGTATATTGTAATATCATATCTAATTGACTCAAATATATCAGTCTGAGAAAACAAGATGGATGACAGGAAATAAATTGACGACGGATGGTATGAGCCTCCAATCTCAATGACAACATAACTAATGCACATTTTCACAAATGTTTGATGTTCCCTGGTAAGGAAAGATGACCAAAATTTTCACATTTTCAAATGTGTCCCTGTCCCTCTCACTTCATGGTTTGAATACTGCCTCTAGGGACCATAGCACTTAAAATTTATGGTTCTGTAAAATGCATTTACATGTGGTGCTCATTTTGATATATGTATTCACTCATAAAGTACATCTGTCACCAAGAAAAACAACTTGAAAAATCATGGTACTTTTTCCAGATATTTTTTCCTTATTTATTAATTCCACTGTCACCTTAAAGGGTCATATGGAGCCAAATCGTGGTATATTGGATTTGGTATCGAAAATCCTCGTATTTTCATTATTTATTCGGAAGATTTCAATGTTTCTCCATTGGATTTTATTAGAGCTTTGTCTTTGGAATTAACCCATTGCACTGTACCAAGCCTCTGGCTCTGGCATTAGCTTTCCCACTGCGTACTGGGCAGCCTGAATAATAGTGACCTTGAAAACACGAATTAATGTGATCAACTGTGTCCTTCATCAGTATCATCTATCTGTGAAAGTATTGGAGTGCAGAATAAAATATATTTTCAGAATCTATCCGAACCTCATTGGAACAAAATTCACAACATTTTATATGATGTTTATTTGTGACAATTGATTCATACTTTAAAATTCGCTGAAACTGTTAGAAATAAGTGAACACTGGGTTTTGGATGGAACTGACCTTTTGCGATCAGAAATTGTTTATGACACCGTTGCTATGTAGTTAGTTGAGAATTCCTTTTGAGAAGTCATTGCAAAACCCCCTACATTTGTAAAAGCAAACCTCCATATTGGAAAAAAACATTCCCTCGATGAACAAATATCGGTCGACAAAGAAGTACTTGAACAGCGCTCCAATACTTGTACGGATGGCACTGGTGTAGGATACAGTTAGAGCAGAAGTAAGCCGCTGATCACATTATTCATGTTTAAAGCTCATTATTATTCAGCTCTCAGCCCCAGTGGAGGTACAGTACATGTAGAGCGACTCATTTTTTCACCCATTGAAATACATGTAAAATTGACAAAGTTCAATCATGATTTCTCAAATCTCAGCCCATCAAATCCTCGCATCCATTCAGATCATGTAGTCCTATTCAAAAACTTCCCGTTCGGTTATATGGTAAGAAAAATAGCCCACAAACAAAAAAAGATTTTACTACATTTATAGCGAGCATTGATTTTTGGCTGTAAAAACATGTAGGACCTATCCCATTGATTTACTGAGACTGCCAAAAATATAATTAATTATTTGGTGCAAAATTATAATATGTTAGATCTAGCGGTCCCTGACACGTCCTAGTCCTACTAGCTACTACCAAACATAATTGTCAATACATGTACACATATATGTGCCATTCATGTACATCTACAAAGTAGACTAGCAAACTAGTGTTTTAAGTACTACTTTTGCTATACAATCAACAAAACGAATGGCAAGTATAGTGTATGTATTGACCCGGGGAGCCAAAAGTTCAAATCTAACATCAACATCGAACATGGCTCTCGAAGTAAGTAAAGGGAGGTGACTTCCCATGCTCTCTAGAGCTCTGGAACAAATCCATAAACGCAATACTTACAGAACCCATTGCTGCTATGTGGTGAGAACATAACTAAAATGATAAGGTATTAATATCTGTCTGAAATTCTTCATTCACGCATAATACTTGACAATTTACTAAATAATTTGAAAATCTTGACCAAAATGTAAATAATTTACACGGGGTGTGTCACAAATCATGACACGCCGTGAAATGCTTAACTTTTGCGAACGTGTACTTTTTATTTTAATTTATTTATTGTTCGTGTAATTAGCATCGACAAAGCTGAGCAGGTGAAAAAGGGTAGGTGATCGTACAAAATGGATGGGGGGGAGTAGGCGATTTCTCAGTGCAAGAAAACTCAACAAATTTGGAAGATTTATTTTTCCAGAGAAAATTTACAACTGAATTGCCAGAACTTGAATGAATAGGCGCAGTGCATGGCAAAATATGTTAGGTCTTCTGTTTGAACCGATACGCTTCCAGGCTAAGATATGTTAATAGACTTTCAAACAAGCCATTACAAGGTAATCAGACTTATTGACTGAGATACAATGTTTTCAATATCATATTGCGGCGCACAGGTGTCTGCGACTCACGTTCGGCATATATCCATAAAAATTAGGGGTAGAAATAATTTTATTTGTCTCCCCCTCCAAGACTTTTCCATTCTACAGCTATTTTTAGTCATTTCCCATCTAAATATGCATGTAATTTACAAATGTGGATATATTTGCATCAAAAGATTAAAGAATAATTAGAAGTATGTAACTTAACAAACAAGTAGCTTATTAGAGGAAATCGCAATTGCAGTTGCTAGCTAGTTTTTGGAAAAAAAGAAATGTTCTGTCTTCTTGGATGGCTTTATCTATTTTAAAATGTTTTACATAAATCAGTAAATATTGAACAAAAAATGTAATTCGATGCATTATTTCAAGGAGGATTGGCTCCCAGGATCGAAACTCGATATTTTCCAACAATGAAAACGTCGAAATGTCGTTATTTTCTGAAATTAAAACCGACTATAAATTCAAAATAAACAGTTCAAAAGATTCGAACCAATATCTCGATCGTTTCTTGTGAGTTTTGGAATTTTTCGTTTGGAAATAAGACCAAAATTCACGATTTAAATGTTGAAGTGAACAAAATGGCGGCTGTTTGAATTCGAATTTTGTATTACGACATACCCATATATGGGACAGAATATCGGTGGTGCACTCTGGGAGCCAATCCTCCTTGGCATTATTTTGATATGTACCTTTAAAACCACATGACATCTATAATTAGAAGCAAAGGAAATCATGAAAATTGGTCAATGCTACAAGTTTTGGCTCAAATATGCTTATAATAATAAAACGGTTTTTTCTCAACCAATGTTCAAAATTTCAGCCAGAGGTATTTTGTAGGATTTTTATTTTGCAAAGTAATTATCTATTCAGTAATCTAGGTTTCCCCTCCCCCTTCCCCCTCCCCATTTTTCAATATTTAATTTCTTGAAATTTTCGACCAGATCTCCAGATCCAGGATTTGTCGACCCCCCCCCCCCCTCTCCATTCATTTTGTAACATAGTTTACTGAAGTCACACACAGATATTATACAATAGATAGAAATACATAAAGTAGAATACTGGTCGTGTTAGACGGGCGTTTGTAAAACACGAAACGAAACGAAACCAAAACGAAACGAAACGAAACCATAACGAAACGAAACGAAACGAAACGCTATTTTGTGACGTACATTCAGGACATTTCTGTTTGCAGATGTTTCAACGAATAATTCCTTTTAATCATTGGTCCTCAGAGTGATGACGACATCGATGCGCTTATTTCACGAAGGCTATTACTTTTACCCTTGTTTCTATCATTGACCTCTATCCTCTAGAGCAGTGTAGTCATTAAGTCATTAATCAAAATTGTCCAAAAGAGCCACGGACTTTAGTCATTGTTTCTTTCGAAACTAATATTTCCATATAATTATACCAGGATTGGAAACAGGAATTAAAAAAATAAAGTTACCTTTTTTATTTCCCAATTTTCGCCTAAATTACTGTAGCGCATCTTGGTGACTTGCACAGCTGTATTAACAAGATTCTAATAGTATCTAAACACTGGAAATCATAACTATAAGTGTATCTATTAGCCTCATTTGAATAATTTTTGTCAACTGGTAAGATTCAGCAAGAGTTTTGGCAATGGATGATGTAATCAGAATTATGAACATCAGTCTAAAGAATGTCCAATCAAATAGCATGATATGATCACATGATCAATCACAAGCACATGTTTTCTAACATGTCTAAGAGTTAACCAATGATGCCTGTTTATTTAGAGTTGATAACGTGACCTTCTGCCAAAGCGCTTGCTGAGTCCTGTTTCCAATCCTGGTATATTTATAAGGAAATAAGTTTCGTTAGAAAGATTGACTTAAGTCCATGAAAAGAGCGATGTTTTTATATTTTGCAAGGGCGAGAAACGTATGAGAAACGTTCAATTTTGTTCTAAATTGATCGGTACTGTTTAATTATATTATTGGAAAATGTTTTCAAACATATTGTGACGGTAGCGCATTTTTATTGCTTAACTTAAAACATAATTTTCGTGTACTAATCAAGTAAAACAAATAATGATTTAGGCCTATATATGGTTAAAAAGAGGAATTCTTTCTCGTTTTAACAGTTTTTATTTCATGGAAATCGGAGTTATAATTATTGAGTTAGAGTGAATTTAATCAGCAGTGTAAATTGGCGAGTTTATTGTTTTACCGGCCGCCGGCCGCTATTAGTTATAGTTTTCAGTTTACTGGGTTTCTGTTTCGTCTTGTGCAGAGAAAACTATACGGTTAAAAATTCTGGGAATTATTTCTTTAAACAAGATTGAATCAAGCTTTTTAACAGTGTTTATATCGTTTAAATTAGTCTTATATGTGTAGAGATATCCTAAGTTGAAAAGCTGTATTTTTAGTAGATTTGTGCAATTTTTACGGCTATTTGGCTTAGCGCATCTTGTCCCAAGTTTGATTGACAGCTAGTTAATTTATGCACACTTTGAAGTTAGTGTTGTCTAGATGGTCTCTATTAGCAACGAGACAGTTTTTGAACAATTTTTCGACGTTTTCACGGATGTATGTGAGATCGTCAGTCTAGATTTGAAAGTTCGATGGTAAAGATATATATAAGAGTGGTAATCATGATGTAATCATGATTGTTTCCTGACGTCCTAAGGAACATTTATTAACATTAAGACTTGTAGTAATCAAAGGCACAATAAGCGACTCCGTGGCTCTAAACAGTTTTTTGGAATGATATCTGGATCATTTGTGAAACGTGTGATGTTTTTCTTTTCCAATTGGATATTGCTTACTGTATATTGGAAAGAGATTTTAAAATCCTAATATAATGGAAAATAAAAAATCTGGCTCGCTATATGCATATTTACAAAATTAAGGATATCTTGGGTCATCAGCGACCCTCTAGATACTTTGTCTTGACAAGGCCCTTTTGAGAAAAATCAGGTTTAATTGATGAATATTAAGTATTATAGTTATATCACATATCTAACATTATTATACATTAACGTTATTAATGTATATGCTTAAAATCAGACAACTAACTCTCATCAACTTGCAACGACCCCATCACATACGACTCCATAATACAAGTCATGCATGAGTGGGGCCGTCGCTTAAATCAAAAGCCATCTCATTATTGAATGAATTGAGATAATCATAATGATTATTTAGTGTTGTATATAAACAGGCACAGTTACAGTTAGTTCAACAAGTTAAACCTAGTCTTGGCCTTATTTCTCATCTGACATATCTTGTGGCCCGCCCTAGGTTTAACGTCCGTGCCTATTCAGCCCTTGATGCAAAAATTTTAATGGTGGCCTATGGTAGCGCATAGAATTTCATGCGCGTTTAATTCATAACTGGTAGTGAGAATTTGCATCAAATACGATTGAATTGCTAAATGAATAGGCGCACGGTATGTTAAAATATGTAGGTATATATAGCTATTCTAGGATTTTTTTCAACTTGCTACGATATGAGATCTATTGAAAAAGGCTTATTTTCATCAACGTGTAAAAGTCAATTTAAATCAGGCAACAATGGTCTACACGACATTGTAATAAATATTATAAAGGACGTTATTATCACAAAATAGTGTCATTTGTTGGCTTTTTAGAATTAGTCACCATTCGATATGTAAAATATAATTGAACGGAAGTTGGATTAATAATTAATCATTTTTCAAATATGCAAATTCGTGCAAACTTTGTTGATTTGTTTGAATTTTCTTGCAACAATTACCGCATCCCCTCCGTTCGTTAATTCTGTCCGATCACCAGGCGTGAAAACGGCTCTGATAAATCAGGATATGGTCGTGGTTATTCGTGATGAGATTTGAATTTGATGAAATTTAATAATCTCTAAGAAGTCAGATACACTTTTGTATGGGGATACCAACCTTAGTGATGTGATGAATGACAAAATTATTGAAATCATGGCTCACTATGTCTCAGCAGCAATCTCAGTATTGAACAGCCAGTGAAACATTCTAAAATCCTTTGGGAACCTTAAGGGTGGGAGGGGGAGCAAGCATAGATACAAACTGAACATACTACGTGGTTTTTGTATTGTGTAAATTCCTGTATCATATATTTTTAATTTGCCATTTAGGCCTATGTTATTAAGTTAAAAAAGGCATACATTTGTATTTATATCAATATCAAGATAATATAAATAAATTGAAATTGAAAAAAAATTAATGAAATTCATATTTTATTTGAAGACCAGAACTTTGGCTTAACCGTCTAACAAATAACCGTACATAATTGTACATTAACAAACATCACTCAATAATACCCGGAATACTTTTTCCTTCCAAAATAATACACAATAGGAACATAAGTTTGAATATTAAAAGAACAAGAAAATTTAACTCGAATATGTTCGCCTCAGTTGTTTTTCCATCTGGTTTCCCCAACAAATATTTCATAACTGTCCCCAGACACGTTTCGTGCAGTGTTTTATAGACCAATCAGATCACAGGAAAAGAATCGTGGATGGTTGACGAGTACCCTTAGAGGTGTCGTCAATATCGTCTCCATCCACGATAAAATCGTAGATTGACGATAATCGTCAAGTTTCGAGAAACGGAAAAATCGTAGAAGACAATTGAATTCACGAATCGTAATTGACGATGTTTTCGAGAAACGGGCTTCTGGCTTGTGGAGTAAATTACTACTCTGATTTAGAATCAAAAGTAGAATGGGTAAAATGCTCGAAATGCCCTTCTTGGGTCCACGACACTAAACGATGTTCTTTCAAAATGGGGGTTGTTGTTCGAAACGTGTTCACATGCTTTCATTGCTTAAAAAGCCCTGATTACAAAAGATGTATCCCCCATGATTTGTTCGCCAAAAAGCCACAATCAGCGACTCTCTAATTGATATAGAAAAATTGTATGCAGAACGTACTCACATGTACATATTTATCATACATTAGGTTCATTACATCTAGTTCTATGAAATGAGTCGATTATTTCATTGAGTAACATGAATTAGTAAAATTGTATCAAACTATAACAACAAAGTACTGCGATAATTTATCATTGAGTTGATTCAAAATTACTTGTATTTAATTATCTACGTTCGTACTTTCATCAATTGTAATAGTTTTTGTTCGTTTCTGCTCCAATGATAATCTAGTTTACCAAACATAAAATTAAAAATAGTTATAAAGTGGCTATTATGTGTTTACAAAACTACTTGGAGAAATGATTCTTTACTAGCTTAGGTTACCGAGGGTGCAATTTGGTAAGAATCTAAAATGACAATTTTTCAAGTTTTATATTCATCACGAGTGAAACACTTATCTGGCTTTAGTGATAAGCATACTACATTCGATTTTTGGCCCATGGGCCTAAATTTAGGGGGGCGTATATGCGAGAAAATACATTTAAATTAATAACACATGATATTTACAAATAAATGTCACTTTAGACCTGAAACAAATGTTTCAAATACTTTTCGTTTTTTTACCTCTGGTAAAGAAAGCTAAAATTCGGCCATTAAGCCTGGAGCTAAAGACTCAATTTTATTAAAAATAAATGGAGGACATATAAAACTACTGAGTTCCAAGTTCAGTTACCGGTAAGCAATACTGGGTCACCAGGCCCTAGAATTTACATAACATGGACTATAATTTGGTACGCCAAAAATACGCCTGCGCGACCTTTTTGCGATACGTCAGTATAATTTATTTTATGTATTTAGTTGTTAGTGATACAACAAGAGGTGTCTCATTTAAAATGTTTTATTCGCAGTATTTCTTTATTTGTTTTTGCCATAAAACCCAATTTGTGTTTCTCATGGGAAACGATTTTGTCCAGTTTAAGCTTGTTGCTTAATGTATTAAGAATAAGATTCTGTTAATAGCGAGTCGTTCAAATAACGTAGGTCTACTTTTACAAACAGCATTTTTGAGTAATGTGGGTGTATCACTTCTGCATTCCCTCATTTCATAACGTTAACTGTGGTTAAGAGTCTACCTTGTAATTTTTGGAATATAGTATCTTGGGACATCATAGAATAACATACTAACTCCCGGGACAAACAAAAACACTTTATTTTTCGAAAATTCTAAACCCAAAATTGTCGCTTTTATCTATGAGTGTTTGGTTTCGTTTCGTTTCGTTATGGTTTCGTTTCGTTTCGTTTCGTTTTGGTTTCGTTTCGTTTCGTGTTTTACAAACGCCCTGTGTAGACCATTGTTGCCTGGTTTATAGCAAAAAACACTGACTTGCGCGTTGATGTCGATGCGCCTTTTAAATAGATCTCATATCTTAGAAGCGAATCGGTTCAAAAAATCCTAGAAGACCTAACATACAGGGTGGGCCAAAAAACGCCACTTTTTCAAGACATTATACCTTTTTCATTTTCCAACCTACGTACACCAGATTTTGCGGTTATATAGTGCCAGGGGTTCTAAGTAATAAAATAATGTAACAAGTCCTTCAATTTGAATTGTATTTGATCTAAAAGAGGAGTTCAATTGGTCTGCCACTCTCTTTGGTGATAGCTTTTAGTCTTACCCGCCTAACTGGTATAGCAGTATCAATGAAATTTTGACTAAGTTTCTTTCAACCTGTCTTAATTGCCAGCTTTAGCCCCCCCCCCCCCCCCCTTCTCCATTCATTTTGTAAAATATAATATTCTAAAGTCTAACATATATTATACAATAAAAATACATGAAATAAAATACAGGTCGTGTAGACCATTGATGCCTGGTTTATAGCAATTATTTTTCTTAACATTTTCAATCATGTTTAATCAATGACTGTTTACAAATCGTGCCACACTATTTCAAAATTTTAGATTTTGACATTTTGTAAGAGAACTCCACTGTAAATTTGGAATTTCAATTTAAACATTTCATTATTCTAAAAGGACCAACAAGTTGCAGTAAGGTTGTAGGTTAATGCTGTGACGTAGGATGTTTTATAGAGAGACTTATATTTTCTCTAGTGAAGGTTTACTCAAAAGGATTGAATACCATTAAAAATGAAAATATAGTTTGTTCTGTTTACCCTCTCAACAGAATCAACAGACCCGTCAATAGGTCTTTGTTCGATGAATACAATACAAGCACATTGTGGAGCTATACGTTTTATTTGGATGTCGCTAAAACACGATTCAAAAATAGGTTATTCAATAGAACGCATAAAACTGATCGATCGGGATGTCAGACTGTTCTTAGAAAAAGTATAGTATTCATTAGAAAGTATTAAACTGATCGATCAGGATGTCAGAATTCATGAAAGTTAGAGCCGTTGGAGTAATACAAGTACATGTTGAGTATAGCACTGTCTGATATATGAGGAATATGTGAAGATGGGGAATAGTCTTCAACAATGGCGTACTGCAATAGGGACTTTCAGTCAATCATCATCTGATAGTTCAACGTTTAGATTCACACGATCTTGGTTAACAAACCAACCACCCGATAAAGAGACACACCTGCCACCAAATAAATCCCAGAACCTGAGTGCGAATCAAAAAGGCACACATAAACACCATGATAAACTGAACATCTCTGACCAACAATCGCCAAACTCCGAGAAGTCAGTGTTGAAGCGGGGATGGATAAAGCGGTTAACAATGCGAGAGGTTGGGTTGAAGATGGCGCCTACCCTCCTTGTTATCTTACTCATCGCATTGATGATTGGTGGGGTTGAAGTAAATCCCGGTCCGAGACCAGGTAATTTATTTTGGTTAAAATATCGGCTACAATTTCCAAATTATATTCTATCGAAAGTATATGACCTCAGATTTTATTCTGGCTATTGCCAAAAACCTTAATCGCAACGTTATTTCGGTCTTTTATAATTTAACACTTAACAGAATAAAATTTTCGGTCCCATATGGTGAAATTCAGCACGAGTTGGACAGGATGTCAAATCACGAACCGAAGGTGAGTGCATTTGTACTGACATTCTGTCCAACGAGTGTAAAATTTCACCACATTGAATGGCCTATCTTTATTTACTCCGATTCAAACACAGGCCTCCTAGACTTCCAACAACGCGAACATCAGTTCTGATTCCGCGAACTACGTTCCTTGCACTCGAACCACGAATCTCATATCGCGAACGTGAAATCTTATGTCGCGCACCACCATTTCTTTGTTTCCGAACATATTTCTTGTACCGCGCACAGAGATCCGTTACCGCGAACAATTTGTACATAATACATCCGGGTGTTTGGGATTTCAAGTTACATGTATATACCAATATGCAACGGAGTGAAACAAGGAAACGAAATTCAGTTTCTCCTCGCCGGACTTTCGTTCCTTTGAAAAGCATGCAAGATTAACATCCACGCCCCGTGTTGGCAGGGCTTTAAATAAATAATATGTCAAAGGACAGCACTGCGTCCCACAGTCATTCATTTTTGGGATCAGACAGTATCTGCGCACGGTGTGGTGTTTTAATTGTAATAGGAGATGGCATTTGTAAGAACCACAACGAAAGTGTAGAGGTGTTTGATAGCCATGGTTGGACCAGAAACTGTCTTGACACTAGTACAGGGCGTTCAGTAAGTAGCCTAAAGCTAATTTTGCTCTCAAACTTTTATTTTTTGTCATTTATCTTTCAAATTTTCAGTGAAGAAGCATTTGACATTTTTCTAACTACCCTGAAAAATTAAAATAAGATATGATGAATAATAGCAAAACAATGGTTGTCAAAGTAACGTGAATACGGGTTCTGCGATGCGGTTCTGCGGTTCTGCAATGAAATTGATGATTTGCGATCACCGAATGGATTCTGTCTTTTAGTGACGTCACAATTAGGTCACCCAGCTTTAGATGCTTGATTTTGAGAGATTATCTTCTATATTTCGTGCTTTATTGATTTATTTTTCACGAAAGCGTTCTATTTGACTAGATCAACATTCATGCTAAGCACATACCAAGTCTAAGGTCTTACTGACATGATTTAGATAGCGGTTTAGCGCCCCCCGATTTTGACAAAAACGGGGGGCGCTTATAGGCATCGATGTTTAGTATGAATTTCACCCAATAAGACGAAATACGTGACAACAGTATCCATAAACAAAATTCCTGAATTCTGATCGCAAAAGGTCAATTGATTAAGATTAATGCTGCATATGTCTTTGTTTGCTTTGGCTGAAAGTCACGACAAACATAACAACAACATACACAAATATGATACCATGGCAACAGTAGTCTATGACATCACAGACAGATGATACAACAGATGGAATGATCCAGAATGATCCATCAGACACTGCTCCATGACATCATCAAAATCATGGCTGCCAGGATTGCCAATGGAAGCAAAATGAACAATGAAATGAAACAACAATTGAAAAGTAGCATCAGATACAAGTGTTGCTAGGGAAATCCAAGCAGGATACCATTAGGGATATCCAAAAAGCATATGGGGACAGTGTGCCTAAGTACACAATCTACAAATGGTATCAGAAATTCCAAAAGGGGAGAAAAACAATAAGTGATGAGCCAAGGTCAGGGAGGCCAAACCTTCTAACCAAAGAGGCTAACATGAATCATTTGAGGCAATTGTTAGATGAAGACCGCAGTATAACTGTAAGGGAACTCTCAGAACTAACCAATATCAGCCTAGGATGGGTACATCAGCTGTGTGTGAAAGCTAAGGGGAACTTCTTTGAACATGAAATAGAATGCTAACTTGAAAGTAGAAATGTGGAGTAGCCACAGAACTATGGTTGAAATATAGACAGGACAGAAACTAACATAAACAAAATCTACTATGCTGTGAACTTATAAAATTGCTCCGCAGAACCCGTATTCGCGTTACTATGACAACCACCATTTTGCTGTCATTCATTATATCTTGATCATTTTTTCAGGATAGTTAGAAAAGTGTCTGATGCTTCTCCACTGAAAAATTGAACGATGATAGACAAGAAATAAAAGTTTGAGAGCAAAATTAGTTTTACTTACTGAACGCCCTGTACATGTATATCACACTGTAACAAACTAGCCGATTTAAGGTAGTGTGGAGGCTAGGTTACTTTGGGATTTCTTGGTACACGTTAAATGTACTTGTTTTTACAGTAATTACAACACGACAAACAATATAAATTTATTTCACATATATTATAACATTAATTATACACAAATAAATTCAAAATGTCCAAATAAACTTGTTGTTGTTAATTATATGCACCAATATAATTGTTAGTTTCCAAGTATTCTACACTTCAGTTAATGATTCAATAAATTTATCCAGGTTGGCACATCAATGGCATATAATCATCTATGGTTACTTCATCAGGCTAATTGAAGTCAATAGTCAGTCAACTATGTTCCCCAGATAGCAGAAAATGTCTAAGTTTTATAGATAACAAAAATGACTAAGTTTTGTAGTTCCAATATTTCCTCCCAATAAGCAAACAATTTCACCCAGGTTGTCACATCAATGGCTTATAATCCTCAATGGATACTTCATCGGGCTAAGAGAAGTCAATAGTCAATGGTCAGTCAACTATGTTCCCCAGATAGCAGAAAATGTCTAAGTTTTGTAGATAACAAAAATGACTAAGTTTTGTAGTTCCAATATTTCCTCCAATAAGCAAATAAATTCACCAAGATTGTCACATCAATGGCTTATAATCATCAATGGCTACTTCATCAGGCTAAGTGAAGTCAATAGTCAATGGTCAGTCAACTATGTTCCCCAGATAGCAGAAAATGTCTAAGTTTTATAGATAACAAAAATGACTAAGTTTTGTAGTTCCAATATTTCCTCCAATAAGCAAATAAATTCACCCAGATTGTCACATCAATGGCTTATAATCATCAATGGCTACTTCATCAGGCTAAGTGAAGTCAATAGTCAATGGTCAGTCAACTATGTTCCCCAGATAGCAGAAAATGTCTAAGTTTTATAGATAACAAAAATGACTAAGTTTTGTAGTTCCAATATTTCCTCCAATAAGCAAATAAATTCACCCAGATTGTCACATCAATGGCTTATAATCATCAATGGCTACTTCATCAGGCTAAGTGAAGTCAATAGTCAATGGTCAGTCAACTATGTTCCCCAGATAGCAGAAAATGTCTAAGTTTTGTAGATAGCAGAAAATAAATAAGTTTTGCAGATAGCAAAAATGACAAAGTTTTGTAGTTCGAACAATTCCTCTAGTAAGCCAATATATTCATCAAGGTTGTCACATCAATGGCTACTTCATCAGGCTAAGTGAAGTCAATAGTCAATGGTCAGTCAACTATGTTCCCCAGATAGCAGAAAATGTCTAAGTTTTGTAGATAACAAAATGACTAAGTTTTGTAGTTCCAACAATTCCTCTAATAAGCCAATATATTCATCAAGGTTGTCACATCAATGGCTTATAATCATCAATGGCTACTTCATCGGGCTAAGAGAAGTCAATAGTCAATGGTCAGTCAACTATGTTCCCCAGATAGCAGAAAATGTCTAAGTTTTGTAGATAACAAAAATGACTAAGTTTTGTAGTTCCAATATTTCCTCCAATAAGCAAATAAATTCACCCAGATTGTCACATCAATGGCTTATAATCATCAATGGCTACTTCATCAGGCTAAGTGAAGTCAATAGTCAATGGTCAGTCAACTATGTTCCCCAGATAGCAGAAAATGTCTAAGTTTTGTAGATAACAAAATGACTAAGTTTTGTAGTTCCAACAATTCCTCTAGTAAGCCAATATATTCATCAAGGTTGTCACATCAATGGCTTATAATCATCAATGGCTACTCCATCAGGCTAAGAGAAGTCAATAGTCAATAGTCAATGGTCAGTCATCCCATGTAGCAGATCGACTATGTTCCTCAGATAGCAGAAAAACGACAAAGTTTTGCAGATAGCAAAAATGACAAAGTTTTGTAGTTCCAACAATTCCTCTAGTAAGCCAATATATTCATCAAGGTTGTCACATCAATGGCTTATAAACATCAATGGCTACTTCATCAGGCTAAGAGAAGTCAACAGTCAATAGTCAATGGTCAGTCATCCCATGTAGCAGATCGACTTTGTTCCTCAGATAGCAGAAAAACGACAAAGTTTTGCAGATAGCAAAAATGACAAAGTTTTGTAGTTCCAACAATTCCTCCAATAAGCAAATAAATTCACCCAGGTTGTCACATCAATGGCTTATAATCATCAATGGCTACTTCATCAGGCTAAGTGAAGTCAATAGTCAATGGTCAGTCAACTATGTTCCCCAGATAGCAGAAAAATGTCTAAGTTTTGTAGATAACAAAAATGACTAAGTTTTGTAGTTCCAATATTTCCTCAAATAAGCCAATAAATTCATCAAGGTTGTCACATCAATGGCTTATAATCATCAATGGCTACTCCATCAGGCTAAGAGAAGTCAATAGTCAATAGTCAATGGTCAGTCATCCCATGTAGCAGATCGACTATGTTCCTCAGATAGCAGAAAAACGACAAAGTTTTGCAGATAGCAAAAATGACAAAGTTTTGTAGTTCCAACAATTCCTCTAGTAAGCCAATATATTCATCAAGGTTGTCACATCAATGGCTTATAAACATCAATGGCTACTTCATCAGGCTAAGAGAAGTCAACAGTCAATAGTCAATGGTCAGTCATCCCATGTAGCAGATCGACTATGTTCCTCAGATAGCAGAAAAACGACAAAGTTTTGTAGATAGCAAAAATGACAAAGTTTTGTAGTTCCAACAATTCCTCCAATAAGCAAATAAATTCACCCAGGTTGTCACATCAATGGCTTATAATCATCAATGGCTACTTCATCAGGCTAAGTGAAGTCAATAGTCAATGGTCAGTCAACTATGTTCCCCAGATAGCAGAAAAATGTCTAAGTTTTGTAGATAGCAGAAAATAAATAAGTTTTGTAGATAACAAAAATGACTAAGTTTTGTAGTTCCAATATTTCCTCAAATAAGCCAATAAATTCACCCAGGATGTCACATCAATGGCTTATAATCATCAATGGCTACTTCATCAGGCTAAGTGAAGTCAATAGTCAATAGTCAATGGTCAGTCATCCCATGTAGCAGATCGACTATGTTCCTCAGATAGCAGAAAAACGACAAAGTTTTGCAGATAGCAAAAATGACAAAGTTTTGTAGTTCCAACAATTCCTCTAGTAAGCCAATATATTCATCAAGGTTGTCACATCAATGGCTTATAATCATCAATGGCTACTCCATCAGGCTAAGAGAAGTCAATAGTCAATAGTCAATGGTTAGTCATCCTATGTAGCAGATCGACTATGTTCCTCAGATAGCAGAAAAACGACTAAGTTTTGCAGATAGCAAAAATGACAAAGTTTTGTAGTTCCAACAATTCCTCTAGTAAGCCAATATATTCATCAAGGTTGTCACATCAATGGCTTATAATCATCAGTGGCTACTCCATCAGGCTAAGAGAAGTCAATAGTCAATAGTCAATGGTCAGTCATCCCATGTAGCAGATCGACTATGTTCTTCAGATAGCAGAAAAACGACAAAGTTTTGCAGATAGCAAAAATGACAAAGTTTTGTAGTTCCAACAATTCCTCTAGTAAGCCAATATATTCATCAAGGTTGTCACATCAATGGCTTATAATCATCAATGGCTACTCCATCAGGCTAAGAGAAGTCAATAGTCAATAGTCAATGGTTAGTCATCCTATGTAGCAGATCGACTATGTTCCTCAGATAGCAGAAAAACGACTAAGTTTTGCAGATAGCAAAAATGACAAAGTTTTGTAGTTCCAACAATTCCTCTAGTAAGCCAATATATTCATCAAGGTTGTCACATCAATGGCTTATAATCATCAGTGGCTACTCCATCAGGCTAAGAGAAGTCAATAGTCAATAGTCAATGGTCAGTCATCCCATGTAGCAGATCGACTATGTTCTTCAGATAGCAGAAAAACGACAAAGTTTTGCAGATAGCGAAAATGACAAAGTTTTGTAGTTCCAACAATTCCTCTAGTAAGCCAATATATTCATCAAGGTTGTCACATCAATGGCTTATAATCATCAATGGCTACTCCATCAGGCTAAGAGAAGTCAATAGTCAATAGTCAATGGTTAGTCATCCTATGTAGCAGATCGACTATGTTCCTCAGATAGCAGAAAAACGACTAAGTTTTGCAGATAGCAAAAATGACAAAGTTTTGTAGTTCCAACAATTCCTCTAGTAAGCCAATATATTCATCAAGGTTGTCACATCAATGGCTTATAATCATCAGTGGCTACTCCATCAGGCTAAGAGAAGTCAATAGTCAATAGTCAATGGTCAGTCATCCCATGTAGCAGATCGACTATGTTCCTCAGATAGCAGAAAACTTCTAAGTTTTGTAGATCCAAAAAAATCAGCTAAGTTTTGCAGTTAGCAAAAACGACTAAGTTTTGTAGTTCCAAAAATTCCTCTAATACCGAGCCACAAAGTCCGTTCGTCGAAAGTCAATGTGCAAAAGTCTGTGGAGTCACCTCTGCGGCCGTATTTATACCCCAACATGTATTGATGTGTATATATATGAATATGTGATTGGAAATATCACGTGACCTAGCGATTGTTACTACGTGAAAATGATTTAAAGTTTAAGACCCATTAAACCCTGTAAAACATAAAAATAATGTTGCAAAAGTAATTTCTATAATATGTGATAAACATATATGACAATAACAAACACATTTATTGAGGTATTAATGAATTATAAATGAGAAATCATGAATATAATTTGTGCGCAAAACGAACTTTTGAAATGACAATTTCCCCGCTTCAACTTTTAACTCCCAATATCTACGTGGTTAAGCCTTAGATTGGAATAAAAACTAGTTAAATCTATTCTAGAATTACTACTCATTTACTTGATTAGAGAATGATGATACAAAAGTAGTACTAACCTGGTATATTGGAGAAATTAAGTGAAACACGTGCCGTAATTGGGTCAACGAGGATCCGGAAACAACTTTTTAAAACGAGACTCCCAAAATGGCTGCCTCCAGGGAACTTTTTTTAAACTTTGCAAAACATTGTAATTTCTATAGCATACGAGGGGTGATCCAAAAGTCTTTGACGCCCCGCTCTAACTTTGCTATTTTCTAATATAATTATATGAAACTTTCGGATAATAAAGATCGACATCTTAACAACTTTGTGTATAAGTTTCAAGAGAAAATAATATATTTTAGCTACTTTTCTAAATATTTTTTGATACCGGGTCCTTGCTACCCGGAACGGTATTTGAATATAGCAAATCACGTCACAACTGTTATAATATGGCAAATACTTTAAGTGCAGGTACACAACCTAACACCAGTCATGATATGAGAGAATTTCCGATTTTCAGTCTGAGTGTCATCTGCCATCATCATCTTCACATATTAAGATCTACTTTTCAACATATTTTCCACGAATTTGAGAACATTTTTCATTCCGCTTTACCAATGAATGAAAGACATTTATGAAACCGCCATTGCTTATGTGATACAAATGCTGTTGGAGTGCCACTCTTAACCTCATCCAATGAGTGAAAAACATTTTCTCTCAACCCTCCTTTCAACTTGGAGAAAAGAAACAAAATCAAACGGAGCCATATCTAGACTGTATCGTGCATATGGTAGTTGCTCAAGGTCAATAATAGTGAAAATATATTGTAGTATTCTTTGTTTCACTTTGATTTCTTTCATGTTCTACATTTCAGCAGCCATCTTGGAGCAAAAATGATACCAAAATGAGGGTTGATTGTCTGATGTCATTTTCTTAGAACTTGACATATATGGCCATTGTCATATGTGACATTATGATTAAAACACAATTAATTGGTTGCCTAGTAACAAAGGAAGTAAACTAACATGGTTTAACATTCAAAATTTAAGAAAAGATAGTGGTCAAGACTTGCAAAACAAGTCAACTAGCAGCAACATTTAAGGCTGAAAGTTGCCATGTGCAAATACCGTTCCGGGTGGCAGGGTCACTATATTAATAACTATCGAGAAAACTACATATAATATATCATTTCACTATGAAATCAATACACAAAGTAGTTTGGTTGTTGGTCTTTATTATTGGAAAGTTTGAAGTAATTTTATCAAAAACCAACAAAATTAGAGCAGGGCGTCCAAGACTTTTGGATCACCCCTCGTATAGGTCTATCTCACTCGGAATAGTGGTTGAAGTTAAGCATTGAAAGTAAACTGACATTGTGGACAAGTGTACAGGTAAGTTAATTGGAGGAAACAACTTAAATCTTGCGAAAAATGGGTGGGTGATAATGTACTGACAGAAAAATAATTTTGAAAAAAAATTAATATGTCTTGCCACTTACTAAAATTCGTCACACTCCTCTCACCTTTGGATTTTGGTGTTTACCAACACCAAGTTAAATAATAAAATAAGACGAATTTTAGTGGAAAAATAATTTTGGCTTCTATTATAAACTCTTTTTAGAACAGTTGCAACTGATTATTAATAAACTATAGGACTTGATACTAATGTCCCGCTAATTACTGTCTCTTGTATTGATGCAGTGATAATACACTAGCATTTTTTAACACTATTTGCACTACAGAAAAAAAATAATCAAGATTTTTAAACTAATGCACTGTGAATAAACAATTATAGTATTTTTTAATTATGCTCTCAATGTTTTTGAGTTTTTCACTGACTATACTGTCCTTATTAATTGCACTCATTGTTCACTGAGTATACTGTCCTTATTAATTTCACTCATAACAAGTACAATCTTTTCCAGCTATGCACTCATTGTTCACTGAGTATACTGTCCTTATTAATTTCACTCATAACAAGTACAATCTTTTCCAGCTATGCACTCATTGTTCACAGAGTTATCCACAGAGTATAGTTTCCTCACCAATTGTACTCATTGTTCACTGAGTTGTTCATTGAGTGTACTTTCCTCATTAATTTAACTCCTTATAAAGATCACAATCTTCTTCATTTATGCACTTATTATCCACTGAGTTTCTTTTTCACGGAGTATACTCTCCTTATTAATCGCACTCATTAAAAATTACAATCCTTTTCATCTACGCACTCATTGTTCACTGAGTATACTGTCCTTATTAATTGCACTCATTGTTTCTCGAGTTTTTCACTGAGTATCCTCATTAATCACATTGATTGTAAAAATTATTATCCTTTTCGTTTATGCACTCATTGTTCACTGAGTATACTGTCCTTATTAATGGCACTCTTTATACAATTACTATATTTTCTACCCATGCACTCATTGTCCACTGAGTTTTTCACTGAGTACACTATCCTCATTAATTTCACTCCTTATAAAAATCACAATCTTGTTCATCTATACACTCATTGTTCCTTGAGTATAAATTCCACTTTTAATAAACTTTTGCAGAACTTTAACAAATGTCTTTCTAGCTACTGTCTTAACAAATAACTTACAAACGTCTTAAATAATGTAAAAATATATCTTTCTTTCCACACAGTGCTAATTACATCTCCTGAGGAGTGTACCTACTGACTAGGGTTAAGTCTTCAACAACCTGACCGTTTGGTCTTAGATATTTGAAGCGCACTTCCAACTTAACTGGGAGGGGTGTATCATCAACCCCATCAGTAACTGTGGCGGTATCTTCCACCTCTCTTTCCGACAACTTACGTTCAGTCGGTTCTTGATTTTTGTTAGTGACTGTCTCTTTATCAGTTCCCTTCTTTCCTAAGGGAATTTCTTGCCAATGAACTTTCTTGGGAGCTTCCTTCTTGGCCGATTCTTTTTCGGTTTGATCCCTTTTGACTTTTTTTTCTGGGGGCCCATCAGGACTAGAATCTTTTCTAGCCACTTCTACTCCTTTTCGACCCCTTGGAATTTCGTTGGTAGTGGTTTCCTCCTTTTGGTATTCTGTTGTTCTAAATTTGGTATCCCCTTCATCTACTCGTTTTAGTTTAATGGCAAGTTCATCTTTAGACTTATCCTTTCTAACCGACTTTGTTTCCTTTTGATCTTTCTGAGGTTTGATTGTTTCTTTTTGATCTTTAGGTGGTTTGATGGTTTCTTTTTGAGGTTTGGATTGTTTTATGGTTTCCTTTTTATCTTTGGTTTGTTTTGCGGTCTTATCCCCTTTTGAAGGTTCTCCATCTCGACTCTTGAATGTCTGTTTGTCCACTTTGTCTTTCTGTCCCATGGATTGGGAACTTCTGTGATCACTTTTATCACTTTCATATTCATCAGTTGATGATGAACTAGAGGTAGAATCTGTGGAGCTCACAAATTCTCTTGACTTGAATGTTTCTCCAGTTCCGTACACTTGGGGTCCAGGTTTGTTGCTTAAATCCTTGCCCCATAGGGGGGATTCTTTGGGTGTCAAGTCTTTTGGGATTTCCAAGACATCCTGTGTACCACCCACTGTTAACATCACGGTATCTCCTCCTGAAGTGGAGGGTGCAGGAGTGGGGCTCTGTAGATTTGGGCGAATATGATCTCTAATATCGCCAGTGATAGATCCTGGTGTCAGCCTTCCCAACAAATCGACCAAGGAAGCGGCCATTGACGTTACATCCCTGTTTCGATCTTCCGCTTGTGTCACTGGGGAAGGGATGGAAGCTCTAGCCTCCCTAGAGTGTGGCTCATTCCTTCGCGGAGAAGTATGGCGTCGCTCTCTGCGGGGCTCACCCTCGAGACGGGGGGAGGCGCTGTGTCTATGGGATGATCTATCTCTTCCCGAACCACGGCCATACTGATACCCCTGGCGGTAGTAGGGATCATGATGCCAGAACCCACGTCCCCTAGGCATTTCTGATCTGCAAGCACAAATAGATAAGGTCAACTCATAATCAATTAAATGTGCTGGAGGTTTTACCCTCCGACCTGGCCTACCACTTTTATTAATACCTGGTACCACTTCCTCCGATTCTGGTTTTAGCTTACAGGCCTCATCAGTCACCAAGTCAGAATCTTTCATGTCTTTACCCTCTAGCTCCATACGCTAAAACAGGTTCTCTTTCTTCTCGGGGACAAGAGTACTGTCATCTCCATCCGTCTCCTGTTTTCTAGTCTTCCCGGAACCTTGTGGGATGGGGGGTAATCCTTCTACTTCTTCCATCTTTAGTGGTTCCTCAGGAAGGGGAGGGGACAACTTCATGCCATCATCATGACTCTCAGGTATTCTCCAATCTTTAGGTAAGGTGCTCTCATATGGCTTCAATTGGTCGAAATGGACAACCTTGGATTTCAACTTACCCCATTCTACGATCCGATATGTTACATCCGACAACTTCTCTAAAATCTGAAAAGGCCCCAGCCATTGACTCTGTAACTTCGGAGATACACCTCGTTTCTTGTTGTTATTCCTATACCAGACTGCATCACCCTTCTGATATCCTTTGCCACCAACTCTTCGATCGTAGGCGGTCTTCTGGCGTATGGCAGCTTTCTTTAAAACTGCCCCGGCTCGTTTATGAGCATCTCTCAGTCCTTGTCTTAATTCCGAAATATAATCAGTCTCTTCCTGTTCCTGCACTTCCGGCTGTGCATCTACTATTAAATCTAGTGGCACATTTAACTCTCGGCCGAACATCAACATGGCTGGTGTCTCTCCAGTGGCCTCATGTGTAGAAGTTCTATAAGCCATCAAGGCGAAGGGAATTTGTAGATCCCAATCGTATAGATGGTCTTCCGGCTGTAATAGCTTTGCAATCGTATCCAATAGGGTGCGGTTGTACCTCTCCACCATTCCATCGCTTTGTGGATGGAACGGCGTTGTCCGTGTCTTATGAATTCCAACCAGATCGCAAACTCGTTGGAAGACATGAGACTCGAAATTTCGCCCTTGGTCAGAATGCAACTCCGACGGAGCCCCAAAACGACACACTACTTCAGCCACTAATTTATCAGCCACAGTAATTGCTTCCTGATTTGGAAGAGGGTAAGCTTCAACCCACTTGGAAAAATAATCTGCACAAACCATTATGACCTTATTTCCCCTGGGCGTTTCTGGGAAGGGACCAAGAATGTCTACAGCATATCTTTCCATGGGTCCACTAACTCCTTGTATTTGAAGAGGAGCCCTTCTAGCACCCAGAGGCTTCCTTCTGGCACCACATGCTCTACAAGTTCGAACTGTGGATCGGGCATCTACTCTCTGTTCAAACCAATAAAATCGTTGGCGACTTTTAAAAAAGGTACGGCGGACACCAAAATGTCCCGCTACCCGATTAGAATGACACATGTCCAATACTGTCGTCTTCATAGGAGAGGGAACCAAGATCTGTAAATGAGTAATCTTGCCCTGATCATCCGTCCACCTTTTACAAAGAACGTCCTCCTTTATCTCGAGGGAATTCCACCGGTGCCAATAATGCTTGGTGGCAGGAGATTCATAGCTGAGTGATTCCCATGCCGGCCTAATTTTAGACTCCTCCAGAGCCTTGATAATTGGCATCAGATCAGGATCTTCTCTTTGTGCCTTGGCAATTTCCAAAAGTCCCCAAAGTGGGGCAACTGCGACAGTGACCAAATTTATATCGGTGTCATCTGTTTCCACTACTTCTTCGTCACAGTGAGTACATTGCTGACATGGTTCAGGTCGCCTAGACATAACATCAGCGTTTGTATGTTTGTTACCAGGCCTATACTCAAGTCGATAATCATACTCTTGCAGTATTTGTATCCACCGAGCCAACTGTCCTTCGGGGTTTTTAAAGTTTGTCAACCACCGTAGTGACCCATGATCACTACGAACGGTGAACCTCACTCCGTACAGATACTGTCGGAAGTACTTCACATAATGCACTACCGCCAATAGTTCTTTCCGAGTGACGCAATAATTACGCTCTGCACCACTCAATCTATGGCTTGCATAGTATATGACTCTCTCCTCATTGTCCTGTATTTGTGACAAGACTGCCCCCAAGGATTCATAACTAGCATCCGTATCCAAGATATATGGGCAGTCATCCCGAGGAAAGGATAATATAGGGGCTGTCGTTAATTTTTCCTTGAGAGCCTTGAAGGCTTCTTCTGTGTTTTGATTCCACTTGAACCTTTGATTCTTGCGAGTGAGTTCATGTAATGGGCCAGCAATTCCCGCAAAATTTTCAATGTGTCTTCTATAATAGGAAGCTCCTCCAATAAATTGCCGCACCTGTTTCACTGTCCTGGGAGTGGGATAATTTACCATCCACTCAATCTTTTTAGGATCTGGGGCAATTCCTTCGCCAGACACCAAATGTCCCAAGTAGTTAACTTCCTTCTGAAATAGTGTACACTTGGCAGGCTTCAGTTTCAAACTAGCTCGTCGCAACCGGCTGAAAACTTGCTCAAGTCTGGTAAGGGCTTGCTCAAAGGTAGGGGCGAAGATTATGACGTCATCTAAATAGACTAATGATCCGTCATTACTTAGTTCACCAAGGACTTGTTCCATAAGTCTACAAAACGTTGACGGAGCATTTGACATACCAAACGGCATCACTGTCCACTGGAACAGACCTCCCCTCACAGTGAAGGCAGACTTCTCTCTAGCATCAGGGTCCAAAGACACTTGCCAGTAACCGCTAGCCAGGTCCAAAGTGCTAAAGTACTTTGACCCACTCATCCTATCCAAAGTTTCATCTATACGAGGAATTGGAAAAGCATCCTTTTTTGTTACATCATTGAGTTTACGATAGTCCACACAAAATCTCCAGGAACCATCTTTTTTTCTCACCAATACTATTGGAGAAGCCCAAGGACTCTGTGAGGGTTCAATAAGACCTTTCTGTAACATATCCTCTACCAACTTATCAACTTCCTCTTGTCGGCACTTTGGTAACATCCGATATCTCTGTCTAATAGGGGGAGTATTTCCAGTATCAATAGTATGTTGAGTTAAAGTAGTCTTTCCCAAGTCCTGGTCATCCTTTGCAAACACATCAGAGTTCCTCAGCAGTAAGGCCCGGAGTTGGTCACTCTGTTCCGTAGTCAGACCACTACAGCTTCTTGAGGCTAACTCTTGTAAGAACTCTGGTAAAGGGGATGAGGACTCAGGTTCTTCATCGGTGAAACAATCAAGTTCTTTGTCAACTACCTCCTTAGAAAGATTACATACATTTCCTTTTCCAAAATCACTCTTCACTTCATATATACCGTCCTCAATTAGAGTGAAAACTCCCAGGGTAGCCCCACATTCCACCTCCATCTCTAACAAGTTATGGTTTCGGACTTCTATATAGCTATTTTCCCCCGGTCTTGCTAAGGTAGTCACAATCTCTAAGGCCTCCAGATCATTATCCTCCATAAGTCCTTCAATGATACCCACACCCGTCATGGGCGACTGTAGTTTAACCTCTACTAAAATCCCTGATAAAGGAGGTACCACAACAACATCTTGTGAAGCACTAATACATAAGGTTGATTGTAAACTGGCTTCTGCCTGGTCGGATTTTGTCACATTCTCAACAGAGACATCAATCAATTCTGGAGAGCTTGGTGGGGTTTCGGGAATAATTATGGGAGTATCAGGTGGCGTACAAAAAACATCCTCTTCAGACGTTGGTGACGGAGTTTCTGGAACACAATCAACCACCTCCTTACAAACTGAATTTCCAGAATCCTCTTCCTCAAAGAAGTCACCATTCCCTGACAAAAGACTGTTAGCTAATTCTTCCGTGCCCCCTTCGAGATTACTGCTGTCCATTTCGGGCTGAGGGATATTCAGAGTATCTACATCAGCTTCAATTTCAGGTAGAGAAGCGTGTTTTATAACAAAAGTCTCCCTACTTTCCAAATCCTCAGCTTGTTGAGTCTCTTCCATTGTGGAGCTATCTTCCTTCTCCCCAAAAGTTATCGCTTTCTTGTGATAGTCAATGATAGCCCGGGAAGCATGCAGATAGTCGGTTCCCAAAATGCCTTCAAAATCTATATTGGCTACCATAACATCCAAGTCTTCCTGGTGTCCATCTACATCAATGACACAATGAATCATACCACTCATACTCAAAGCTTCCCCATCTGCCTGGATTAATACGTGATTAGGAGGCATCAGCTTTGGTCTACTGGCCAGTGGCATGCGACGATAGCTTTCTACACTCAAAACAGTCCTAACAGCTCCTGAGTCTACCAAAAAGGCAATAGGAGTATCACAAACCTCTCCAATTGCGATCACCTTCCTTACTTCACTTGATATGAGGCCATTAGGCTGGTCTGGCACTTCCCGGCCCTGATGATTGATAAATTTTATAGGAGCAGCCTGATTTGGCTCACTTCGTCCTGACTGTTGAGCTCTTTCTTCTGCTCGTTTCTTGGCAAAGCATTCAGCTGCTCTATGTCCTAACTTGTGACAGTAAAAGCATTCCATCCTTTTAAAAGCTTGCTTTGGTGTTTCAGGCTCGGTCTTGTTCTGGTTTGAGATCAGTTCTGTGATTTTCTCCATCAGTGTTTCAATTTTGGTCTCAATGGCTGTGAGTTTACTTTGATTCTCTTCTTTGCCTTCAATAGCTGTTACTCTACTATATTTAGGTTTTTGCCCCTTCCTAATCCGTTCAGATTCCAGATAGGACTCTTCCTTAAGTGCCACCTCAATAGCCTTGTCCAAGGTATTACATTCCTTTGTATGTATCGCCCTCCTTATATCCTCTTCCAATATTGACTGCTCAAAACTTCGTCTGGCGAGTCGATCCTGTGCGGCACGACTCATTTCTGGATAAGCCAGTGCAGTGAGCCTCCTAATGTCTTGTCCCAGGGTTTGTAGAGTTTCTTTAGGCTTCCTTATCCTCCCAACCAACTCCGCCTCATACACTTCGGCCTTGCCGCCTGGGCCAAAACGTTTCTCCAAAGCCAGAAGGAGTTGGTCATAAGTGTAATCCTGCCCCATCTCCAAAACCATTTGCTGGGCCGGCCCTCTTAAACTTGTAGCCAAAAAACGTCTTTTATCTTCTTCTGTCCAATTGTTAACGTCTCCACATATCTCAAAATAGGCTCTATAATCTTGCCAGGGCGTGGATCCATTATATACATCTGGCTTAATCCTACTTTTACTAGATGACCCCAAGTTCTCTGATCCAAATTTATCACACAGTTTGGAGCACATCTGTATTAATTCCGTGGTTAAATTGGACTCTGCACTTCTATTTACTGGTTCCTCTTTATGAGGTGCTGAGCTTGTTCCAGGCCTAGAGGCTAACCCTAAGGAAGAAGGCTTAAAGTCCTCCCTCACTCCCTCCTGATTCAATAGACTGGGTTTGTAAGTTGTACTTGGTATATTTCCTCGACCAACTGCACCCTGATTCTCTAAGTTTTTAAGTCCAGGGTTTATGGCATCTGAACTGGAGTTGACTTTCCATTTGCTGGGATTTATATGAATTCTCTCCTGCCTTTTCAAACTCCATGGCTTCCTTGAACTCGCAGGCAAGAGCTCAGGGTCAAAAGCAGGTTCAGACAATGGCTGAAACGGACCGGCATGATTCATCGACCCTACTTCAGGTTGCATACTACTACTATGTAGTTTTTCCACGATGGACGTCTCTACGGTCTGTTGGAAGTCTTTCATTTGTGTTTGCACTTCCTGTCTGTTGACTTCAACTCGCTGTGCAATCCTATTAATATTGTGCAGCTGAGCTTGTTGGGACTCCACTACTGTCTCTGCTAAACGTTGCATTTGTTTCTGCTGATTGATCATCGTCTCACTTAAAACATCTATTTTAGATTTAATCTTCTCCTCCATCATCCTTAAGTCCGGTTCCCTCTGAACTTCCTCATCCATTCCTGCCCAAGGCCTTTCAGCAAGAGTAGAAGTAAGAGGAAACCTCCTCCTCCTCCTCGGAGACTCTCTCCAAGTTCCAGTTGTGGGGTTAAATGGGGTTTTAGCATCCGTGAACGCAGCTCCAGTCCAATATCCTGTACTAATTTGACCATGTAACCCCTTTTTGTCAGTATCAGAATCAGAAGTGTCTGCCCTGGTTCCTGGATTAGGAAGCCCAACTCTAGGGAACTCCTTCCTTTTGTGGTCATCTTTCACATCATGAATAGTGTCCTCGCCAGCTCCAGAATAATCTATATCCATTTTATCCGTCTTTAGAAAAACCGTATTATCAGGCTCACTGTCCCCTTTGTTCTCTACAGGTGGTGGGGGAGGAAGACCTGTGTCTTGTTCCATATTGTTATGTTGTATCGCAGTCTGCAGTCACAATATCCCACCACTGCCACCAGTGTAACAAACTAGCCGATTTAAGGTAGTGTGGAGGCTAGGTTACTTTGGGATTTCTTGGTACACGTTAAATGTACTTGTTTTTACAGTAATTACAACACGACAAACAATATAAATTTATTTCACATATATTATAACATTAATTATACACAAATAAATTCAAAATGTCCAAATAAACTTGTTGTTGTTAATTATATGCACCAATATAATTGTTAGTTTCCAAGTATTCTACACTTCAGTTAATGATTCAATAAATTTATCCAGGTTGGCACATCAATGGCATATAATCATCTATGGTTACTTCATCAGGCTAATTGAAGTCAATAGTCAGTCAACTATGTTCCCCAGATAGCAGAAAATGTCTAAGTTTTATAGATAACAAAAATGACTAAGTTTTGTAGTTCCAATATTTCCTCCCAATAAGCAAACAATTTCACCCAGGTTGTCACATCAATGGCTTATAATCCTCAATGGATACTTCATCGGGCTAAGAGAAGTCAATAGTCAATGGTCAGTCAACTATGTTCCCCAGATAGCAGAAAATGTCTAAGTTTTGTAGATAACAAAAATGACTAAGTTTTGTAGTTCCAATATTTCCTCCAATAAGCAAATAAATTCACCAAGATTGTCACATCAATGGCTTATAATCATCAATGGCTACTTCATCAGGCTAAGTGAAGTCAATAGTCAATGGTCAGTCAACTATGTTCCCCAGATAGCAGAAAATGTCTAAGTTTTGTAGATAGCAGAAAATAAATAAGTTTTGCAAATAGCAAAAATGACAAAGTTTTGTAGTTCGAACAATTCCTCTAGTAAGCCAATATATTCATCAAGGTTGTCACATCAATGGCTACTTCATCAGGCTAAGTGAAGTCAATAGTCAATGGTCAGTCAACTATGTTCCCCAGATAGCAGAAAATGTCTAAGTTTTGTAGATAACAAAATGACTAAGTTTTGTAGTTCCAACAATTCCTCTAATAAGCCAATATATTCATCAAGGTTGTCACATCAATGGCTTATAATCATCAATGGCTACTTCATCGGGCTAAGAGAAGTCAATAGTCAATGGTCAGTCAACTATGTTCCCCAGATAGCAGAAAATGTCTAAGTTTTGTAGATAACAAAAATGACTAAGTTTTGTAGTTCCAATATTTCCTCCAATAAGCAAATAAATTCACCCAGATTGTCACATCAATGGCTTATAATCATCAATGGCTACTTCATCAGGCTAAGTGAAGTCAATAGTCAATGGTCAGTCAACTATGTTCCCCAGATAGCAGAAAATGTCTAAGTTTTGTAGATAACAAAATGACTAAGTTTTGTAGTTCCAACAATTCCTCTAGTAAGCCAATATATTCATCAAGGTTGTCACATCAATGGCTTATAATCATCAATGGCTACTCCATCAGGCTAAGAGAAGTCAATAGTCAATAGTCAATGGTCAGTCATCCCATGTAGCAGATCGACTATGTTCCTCAGATAGCAGAAAAACGACAAAGTTTTGCAGATAGCAAAAATGACAAAGTTTTGTAGTTCCAACAATTCCTCCAATAAGCAAATAAATTCACCCAGGTTGTCACATCAATGGCTTATAATCCTCAATGGCTACTTCATCGGGCTAAGAGAAGTCAATAGTCAATGGTCAGTCAACTATGTTCCCCAGATAGCAGAAAATGTCTAAGTTTTGTAGATAACAAAAATGACTAAGTTTTGTAGTTCCAATATTTCCTCCAATAAGCAAATAAATTCACCCAGATTGTCACATCAATGGCTTATAATCATCAATGGCTACTTCATCAGGCTAAGTGAAGTCAATAGTCAATGGTCAGTCAACTATGTTCCCCAGATAGCAGAAAATGTCTAAGTTTTGTAGATAGCAGAAAATAAATAAGTTTTGCAGATAGCAAAAATGACAAAGTTTTGTAGTTCGAACAATTCCTCTAGTAAGCCAATATATTCATCAAGGTTGTCACATCAATGGCTACTTCATCAGGCTAAGTGAAGTCAATAGTCAATGGTCAGTCAACTATGTTCCCCAGATAGCAGAAAATGTCTAAGTTTTGTAGATAACAAAATGACTAAGTTTTGTAGTTCCAACAATTCCTCTAGTAAGCCAATATATTCATCAAGGTTGTCACATCAATGGCTTATAATCATCAATGGCTACTCCATCAGGCTAAGAGAAGTCAATAGTCAATAGTCAATGGTCAGTCATCCCATGTAGCAGATCGACTATGTTCCTCAGATAGCAGAAAAACGACAAAGTTTTGCAGATAGCAAAAATGACAAAGTTTTGTAGTTCCAACAATTCCTCTAGTAAGCCAATATATTCATCAAGGTTGTCACATCAATGGCTTATAAACATCAATGGCTACTTCATCAGGCTAAGAGAAGTCAACAGTCAATAGTCAATGGTCAGTCATCCCATGTAGCAGATCGACTATGTTCCTCAGATAGCAGAAAAACGACAAAGTTTTGCAGATAGCAAAAATGACAAAGTTTTGTAGTTCCAACAATTCCTCCAATAAGCAAATAAATTCACCCAGGTTGTCACATCAATGGCTTATAATCATCAATGGCTACTTCATCAGGCTAAGTGAAGTCAATAGTCAATGGTCAGTCAACTATGTTCCCCAGATAGCAGAAAAATGTCTAAGTTTTGTAGATAACAAAAATGACTAAGTTTTGTAGTTCCAATATTTCCTCAAATAAGCCAATAAATTCATCAAGGTTGTCACATCAATGGCTTATAATCATCAATGGCTACTCCATCAGGCTAAGAGAAGTCAATAGTCAATAGTCAATGGTCAGTCATCCCATGTAGCAGATCGACTATGTTCCTCAGATAGCAGAAAAACGACAAAGTTTTGCAGATAGCAAAAATGACAAAGTTTTGTAGTTCCAACAATTCCTCTAGTAAGCCAATATATTCATCAAGGTTGTCACATCAATGGCTTATAAACATCAATGGCTACTTCATCAGGCTAAGAGAAGTCAACAGTCAATAGTCAATGGTCAGTCATCCCATGTAGCAGATCGACTATGTTCCTCAGATAGCAGAAAAACGACAAAGTTTTGCAGATAGCAAAAATGACAAAGTTTTGTAGTTCCAACAATTCCTCCAATAAGCAAATAAATTCACCCAAGTTGTCACATCAATGGCTTATAATCATCAATGGCTACTTCATCAGGCTAAGTGAAGTCAATAGTCAATGGTCAGTCAACTATGTTCCCCAGATAGCAGAAAAATGTCTAAGTTTTGTAGATAACAAAAATGACTAAGTTTTGTAGTTCCAATATTTCCTCAAATAAGCCAATAAATTCACCCAGGATGTCACATCAATGGCTTATAATCATCAATGGCTACTTCATCAGGCTAAGTGAAGTCAATAGTCAATAGTCAATGGTCAGTCATCCCATGTAGCAGATCGACTATGTTCCTCAGATAGCAGAAAAACGACAAAGTTTTGCAGATAGCAAAAATGACAAAGTTTTGTAGTTCCAACAATTCCTCTAGTAAGCCAATATATTCATCAAGGTTGTCACATCAATGGCTTATAATCATCAATGGCTACTCCATCAGGCTAAGAGAAGTCAATAGTCAATAGTCAATGGTTAGTCATCCTATGTAGCAGATCGACTATGTTCCTCAGATAGCAGAAAAACGACTAAGTTTTGCAGATAGCAAAAATGACAAAGTTTTGTAGTTCCAACAATTCCTCTAGTAAGCCAATATATTCATCAAGGTTGTCACATCAATGGCTTATAATCATCAGTGGCTACTCCATCAGGCTAAGAGAAGTCAATAGTCAATAGTCAATGGTCAGTCATCCCATGTAGCAGATCGACTATGTTCTTCAGATAGCAGAAAAACGACAAAGTTTTGCAGATAGCAAAAATGACAAAGTTTTGTAGTTCCAACAATTCCTCTAGTAAGCCAATATATTCATCAAGGTTGTCACATCAATGGCTTATAATCATCAATGGCTACTCCATCAGGCTAAGAGAAGTCAATAGTCAATAGTCAATGGTTAGTCATCCTATGTAGCAGATCGACTATGTTCCTCAGATAGCAGAAAAACGACTAAGTTTTGCAGATAGCAAAAATGACAAAGTTTTGTAGTTCCAACAATTCCTCTAGTAAGCCAATATATTCATCAAGGTTGTCACATCAATGGCTTATAATCATCAGTGGCTACTCCATCAGGCTTAGAGAAGTCAATAGTCAATAGTCAATGGTCAGTCATCCCATGTAGCAGATCGACTATGTTCTTCAGATAGCAGAAAAACGACAAAGTTTTGCAGATAGCGAAAATGACAAAGTTTTGTAGTTCCAACAATTCCTCTAGTAAGCCAATATATTCATCAAGGTTGTCACATCAATGGCTTATAATCATCAATGGCTACTCCATCAGGCTAAGAGAAGTCAATAGTCAATAGTCAATGGTTAGTCATCCTATGTAGCAGATCGACTATGTTCCTCAGATAGCAGAAAAACGACTAAGTTTTGCAGATAGCAAAAATGACAAAGTTTTGTAGTTCCAACAATTCCTCTAGTAAGCCAATATATTCATCAAGGTTGTCACATCAATGGCTTATAATCATCAGTGGCTACTCCATCAGGCTAAGAGAAGTCAATAGTCAATAGTCAATGGTCAGTCATCCCATGTAGCAGATCGACTATGTTCCTCAGATAGCAGAAAACTTCTAAGTTTTGTAGATCCAAAAAAATCAGCTAAGTTTTGCAGTTAGCAAAAACGACTAAGTTTTGTAGTTCCAAAAATTCCTCTAATACCGAGCCACAAAGTCCGTTCGTCGAAAGTCAATGTGCAAAAGTCTGTGGAGTCACCTCTGCGGCCGTATTTATACCCCAACATGTATTGATGTGTATATATATGAATATGTGATTGGAAATATCACGTGACCTAGCGATTGTTACTACGTGAAAATGATTTAAAGTTTAAGACCCATTAAACCCTGTAAAACATAAAAATAATGTTGCAAAAGTAATTTCTATAATATGTGATAAACATATATGACAATAACAAACACATTTATTGAGGTATTAATGAATTATAAATGAGAAATCATGAATATAATTTGTGCGCAAAACGAACTTTTGAAATGACAATTTCCCCGCTTCAACTTTTAACTCCCAATATCTACGTGGTTAAGCCTTAGATTGGAATAAAAACTAGTTAAATCTATTCTAGAATTACTACTCATTTACTTGATTAGAGAATGATGATACAAAAGTAGTACTAACCTGGTATATTGGAGAAATTAAGTGAAACACGTGCCGTAATTGGGTCAACGAGGATCCGGAAACAACTTTTTAAAACGAGACTCCCAAAATGGCTGCCTCCAGGGAACTTTTTTTAAACTTTGCAAAACATTGTAATTTCTATAGCATATAGGTCTATCTCACTCGGAATAGTGGTTGAAGTTAAGCATTGAAAGTAAACTGACATTGTGGACAAGTGTACAGGTAAGTTAATTGGAGGAAACAACTTAAATCTTGCGAAAAATGGGTGGGTGATAATGTACTGACAGAAAAATAATTTTGAAAAAAAATTAATATGTCTTGCCACTTACTAAAATTCGTCACAACACGCTTGCATCGATGATCATGTCCCCGCCATCCATTTTTGTGACTCATGTGGATGGCAGAGAGACTCAGCTGATTTCAGGTAGATCTACCGTTTTTGTATAGTTAATCTTTTTTCTTAAACTGGTTTTAGGTGCCATGGTAGTCAACAGGAAATGACAAAACAGGAAGTGACAAAACCATGCTGGATTTCAAACATTTTTTGAACCAAGATATCCGAGTTCTGTTTCGACCTCCAGTCAGTTTAACTAGTTCCACATACCATTTACATGACCAGGATCACAATGACCATGGTCAGAATGACCCTAGACATGATGAAATTACTTTTTCAGCCCTCTGAAATTTGTGACTGAAAAATAGATAAAAGTAGGAGCTTAGGAAAGGTCACTGAGAAGAATCTTTTGAATTTTTCAGAAAATGTGCCCAATATATTTTTGTCTCAGTGATACAATCTTGGGAAATTTGATATCTTTTGTTGAAAAAGAAAAAAATGAAAAAAACTGAATTGAAAAGCGATCTTTTTTCCTTTTAATGTCCGCCATTTTTTCAGAAAAGTTTCTAAAATTTCAAAGATTGTATCATTTAGAGCAATATATTGAGCACATTTTCTGAAAAATTCAACCTTCTAACCAAAGAGGCTAACATGAATCATTTGAGGCAATTGTTAGATGAAGACCGCAGTATAACTGTAAGGGAACTCTCAGAACTAACCAATATCAGCCTAGGATGGGTACATCAGCTGTGTGTGAAAGCTAAGGGGAACTACTTTGAACATGAAATAGAATGCTAACTTGAAAGTAGAAATGTGGAGTAGCCACAGAACTATGGTTGAAATATAGACAGGACAGAAACTAACATAAACAAAATCTACTATGCTCTGAACTTATAAAATTGCTCCGCAGAACCCGTATTCGCGTTACTATGACAACCACCATTTTGCTGTCATTCATTATATCTTGATCATTTTTTCAGGATAGTTAGAAAAGTGTCTGATGCTTGTCCACTGAAAAATTGAACGATGATAGACAAGAAATAAAAGTTTGAGAGCAAAATTAGTTTTACTTACTGAACGCCCTGTACATGTATATCACACGCTTGCATCGATGATCATGTCCCCGCCATCCATTTTTGTGACTCATGTGGATGGCAGAGAGACTCAGCTGATTTCAGGTAGATCTACCGTTTTTGTATAGTTAATCTTTTTTCTTAAACTGGTTTTAGGTGCCATGGTAGTCAACAGGAAATGACAAAACAGGAAGTGACAAAACCATGCTGGATTTCAAACATTTTTTGAACCAAGATATCCGAGTTCTCTTTCGACCTCCAGTCAGTTTAACTAGTTCCACATACCATTTACATGACCAGGATCACAATGACCATGGTCAGAATGACCCTAGACATGATGAAATTACTTTTTCAGCCCTCTGAAATTTGTGACTGAAAAATAGATAAAAGTAGGAGCTTAGGAAAGGTCACTGAGAAGAATCTTTTGAATTTTTCAGAAAATGTGCCCAATATATTGCTCTCAGTGATACAATCTTGGGAAATTTGATATCTTTTGTTGAAAAAGAAAAAAATGAAAAAAACTGAATTGAAAAGCGATCTTTTTTCCTTTTAATGTCCGCCATTTTTTCAGAAAAGTTTCTAAAATTTCAAAGATTGTATCATTTAGAGCAATATATTGAGCACATTTTCTGAAAAATTCAACCTTCTAACCAAAGAGGCTAACATGAATCATTTGAGGCAATTGTTAGATGAAGATCGCAGTATAACTGTAAGGGAACTCTCAGAACTAACCAATATCAGCCTAGGATGGGTACATCAGCTGTGTGTGAAAGCTAAGGGGAACTTCTTTGAACATGAAATAGAATGCTAACTTGAAAGTAGAAATGTGGAGTAGCCACAGAACTATGGTTGAAATATAGACAGGACAGAAACTAACATAAACAAAATCTACTATGCTGTGAACTTATAAAATTGCTCCGCAGAACCCGTATTCGCGTTACTATGACAACCACCATTTTGCTGTCATTCATTATATCTTGATCATTTTTTCAGGATAGTTAGAAAAGTGTCTGATGCTTCTCCACTGAAAAATTGAACGATGATAGACAAGAAATAAAAGTTTGAGAGCAAAATTAGTTTTACTTACTGAACGCCCTGTACATGTATATCACACGCTTGCATCGATGATCATGTCCCCGCCATCCATTTTTGTGACTCATGTGGATGGCAGAGAGACTCAGCTGATTTCAGGTAGATCTACCGTTTTTGTATAGTTAATCTTTTTGCTTAAACTGGTTTTAGGTGCCATGGTAGTCAACAGGAAATGACAAAACAGGAAGTGACAAAACCATGCTGGATTTCAAACATTTTTTGAACCAAGATATCCGAGTTCTGTTTCGACCTCCAGTCAGTTTAACTAGTTCCACATACCATTTACATGACCAGGATCACAATGACCATGGTCAGAATGACCCTAGACATGATGAAATTACTTTTTCAGCCCTCTGAAATTTGTGACTGAAAAATAGATAAAAGTAGGAGCTTAGGAAAGGTCACTGAGAAGAATCTTTTGAATTTTTCAGAAAATGTGCCCAATATATTGCTCTCAGTGATACAATCTTGGGAAATTTGATATCTTTTGTTGAAAAAGAAAAAAATGAAAAAAACTGAATTGAAAAGCGATCTTTTTCCCTTTTAATGTCCGCCATTTTTTCAGAAA